TTTATGTCGAACTCTTAGAGAAGTATTTCTAAGTTTTTGTGGTCATTTTCTCTACAAAAGACGATATATTTGTGTTAATAAAGAATCGTTTCCCATTTCGTTACAATATTTTATTCAGAGAACAAGAAGTAGATTAAACTGCATTTGTTCTTATTTTTTAATCCCTTCTTTCTACTTTATTAGATTGTGGTCAAGTCTTTTTAGTCCATTTTTATATGGAATGTTGATCGTTTTAACTGTAATGAAATTCATAATTTATTTCATATTTAATCCTGTATTCTAGAACAAATAGATTAATGAGAGCTTTATAAATTCTATTCTATTGCTTAGGTCAATGGGAGTACAAACAAAAAGGACGTTTATCTTCCTTATTATAATTACTAGTTACAACAGTAAATTAAAATCTCTGATCTCATACTAATATTAATGTTGATAATTTACGAAAGTTATGAGAAAAACAGCAATTAGAAAATCTCTCGTATTTTAGTGTAAGATAATTCCTAATAATTTTACAAAAGTAACTGTAAAACATGTGAAAATTAATGATTAAGGGTTAGCAAATAATACAATTTTTAACGTTCAGTAATTTACTTTGTGTATATTAAATGAAATGTAGATTGAAATTAAAATAACAGTACGATTTATCAATGATATTTCATATAATTTTACCGTTAATTATTTTGATTATTTTTTTTTTTACAAAATATTAGTATATCACAGCAACCAGTATTATTTTTATCGTTTTTTACAATAAAAAAGATGTGTTCATCTTTCGAATGAAGTTTTGAGTAGTTGATCAATACAAACAAGAGTGTGTACAAAACACAGTGTGTTATTTGATGAAAATACAGAAAAAATTAAAGAGGTACAAAATTGATTCTGAAGAATCAGGATTAAAGTAGACATTTAATGTTTTTGGCTAGATATCTAAGTTTAAAAAATGAGTTCGATGACATACTCGTAACAGAATAGATTCGAATATGAAACAAAATTTTTAGTAACATGTGTGAAGCCTACTTTCATTTCCTTTTGTCGAGTTTCTTCCCTTTGGCGTGTCGGTGATTGTGGAAAAATTGTATTATTTTCTACAAGTAGATGAAGTAACTCGGTTTTACCCGAGTTTTTATTTACGCTCCGTCCACTACACCCGTTCTCTGGCTAGGCAACGGGTAGCAAGATTACCGCCCAACAAAAATACTTGGTACTTAAGTTTTCCAGTAATACAAGATACGGGGTGAAACAATGTTTTAGATAATATTTGACGGCAGCAAAGCCTAATATATATTTATCGACTAACAAGTGTGCATGCAAAATGTGAGGACAATCGCGCCAGTGATTCAAAAGTTTATGTGAAACAAACAACCACATGAGCCTTCACATACATCCATTATTATATTTTAAGATGAGTTATATAATTGCTTATATTTCCTGTCAAAACTTTTATCTTCTTTTCTTCCAGTTCGTTCGCTTCTAGAAGGAATGTCATTCCTTTTCTTGCTTTATGAACTATCTTTTGTCCTTATGTCAGTCTAGTTAGGAACTATCTAGTCTTAGCTCAGAACTATCTTTATGTCTCTTATTTCAGTCATCTGTAATTTTATCTGAACACAATTGTGGAGAAGGTACAGGGTACATTTTTTGACATGTTACAAACTCCCAAACGCTCCAATCATAAATATTACAAGTGGAAACATAAATGCGCCAAATTCCTAACATTTTTATCTAACGCTTCATTTAAAATATCAGTGTGGTCTGAACTCATGAGGCAAGTGTGAATTAGCTGCGTCGACGTAATACTTGTAACAAAACCCTACCGCCCCTGCCTCATGCGTTATTGTAGGAGTATCCTACACAAAGTTATTGTAACAATACTAAAATTGTTATCATAGACGCGAATTATGACTTATTAATTAAAATAAATTACATTAGAATACTTATTTTGGTTGCTAAGGGTTTCCTGCAGGAATGGATGCACTGTTGGGGCATGCTTCTTTTCCCGCTACTTCCAAGCGCTAGGCTGTAGCAATCCCCGGTGTTTTGCTGCTCTTGCCCCAAATTCGTCTTCCCGCAGTGCGAACAGTCCGTTCACCTCCAATCGATCCAACAGTGCTACAAATTCTTCCACGACGAACAACAAAAATATGTTCCCGATAGTGTAATTGAAATTTTCACTGGCATTCTTAAATATTTTCTCACAATTTTGTACAAGTTATTTATATTACATTTTGTTTTTATTTATATACAATTTTAACATCAACCATTAAATAAATATAAAATCGTTAACATTTACATGTTTTCATGGCAATGGTTTTCATAGCATAGCAACACTTTCCCAATTGCAAAACTTATCATGTTGAGCAGATGGAGAAAAAATTATGAGACAAGCCCTTCATATTAACCTCTCTCAACTAACAAACAATCAAATATCTACATTAATTATGCATTTTGTTCTAAATAAGTTGTTTTATTGTGGGTAATTTTGTTCATTGCAACTTTGATGAAATCTAACTGCAGATAGGCAACACGCTATACTGACATGTTATGTGGGTCATCTACATTTTCACACAAAAAGCTAGACGAAGACGTAGTGAAATTAACACTTGCATTTCTCACGAAGAATTTAGTAATTTAGGTTGATAAAATAATTATTTGATTACACATATGTGCATATTAATTTTACTAGTGGTACCTAACTCCTGAAGTATGAAATTTGAATCGCAGACTTAAGTGATTCGTTGGTCATCCAATGCATGTTTTATTCTTTGTTTATTTTGCAGAAAATGTATTTATATCTATTAAACGTTTCAATAAAAAAGTGGCGAAATTAATTTAGATAATAAGTACTTATCTTTTCTTGTACACACATCGGGAGGTTATTAGAAAAGGAATACACACAAAACAACTACCTTGTGTGATCTTATGGCTGATGTTAATCTCATATGATCGAAAATGTATTTTTAAAGATCCTTCATGTAGTACATACTTTTCAAATGGAGGAGACCACAGAGTGTCTGTAAGAACTCGATATTGCACAGTTATCTCGATGGCTGCAATGGACGTAACATCTCGGGAGATTTTCGCGCAAAGACAAATAAGAATTAATCATAGGACATAAAATCAATGAGATATCTAATTGACCACCAAAATTTATAAATAGGTAAATCATTTTTTTAACGAATAACATAAGTAACCTGCTCAATTAAAAGATATATTGAAGTGCTCGTTGTGAACTGCACTATTGCATGCATCACATTGACATTTCGAAACATTCTATTGAGATGTGTGCCGAATGAAATCGCTACCGGAAATACACCATACTATGTTTCGAGGTTGTGAAGTGAATTCGTCAAGTTCAATCCAAATGAATTTTAGAATATTTGAGCATGAGGCAACTCTTCCATTATTTTTTCCAATTACGTAGACGTAGACGTATTTTGGAACCAGCAGTTCAGACTGTTATATAATAAATATTAGAAACATCTAGGTCAAGCATTCCAAACTACGCCAGCGCAAGCTAATTGCCGGCCTAGCAAGCTCCTCGCGCCTAAGGGCACGGGCCACTTCGCCTGACTTCACTCCCATTTCCCCTCCAAATCCAGAAAGGGTTATATACGCCCTAGCTGAAGCGACGAGAGGCGGGAAACAGTGGCTTCGTACGAAAGTATATTCGCCAGATTTATTCTTCAAACAACGGAGAACAGAATTATGTATATATATTTTTGCTATTTATTACTATTTCATGTTCATTTGACTTTTAAATTATCCTTTGTATAATTGTTTTGCCTTTGTATAATTGTTTTGCCAAGGGGCAGGAATATGTTTGAATGGCGAGTTCGTTACTTTTTTTTGGTACTTGTGTTTTATTACATCATTACATAATTTGTTGGGTAACAATTATGTGTAATAAATTGACAAACCTCTATAAGTTAACAATTCTTCATTAGTAAAGAGCTCTTTCAATATCCAAAAATCTTTCTGTTACTCGTAATCTGAACTTTCTAAGTTATGCAATTATTGCACTCTTAAGCAAATACGACTACAAAATCAAGTTACTTTCGATTCAAAATGTTTCATTTTACAATACATGTAAGTTACAATTTCAAATCTTTCAAAATGTATTATTACACTTTAATGGATAATTTCTTTGCTTTGTAGACAAAATGAGAATATCTCCTCTAAACATGCTACACGGGCCAGATATCCGGTAATGTACCACCACTCTGGAGTATTTGTACAACCTTTACTTTTAAATTTGGCGCCAATTGCTTTGGGCGCACTGCCCGCAAACTCTAGAAAGCTAGTTACCTTGCCAGCGACCTTGACGTACCTGATCTAGGCAATGTAGGCGGAGGAAGATAATTACTGTTCACCAATAAATACGTGGGAAATCTGGAAAACAAAGTTACGCGTGTGACATTTTTACCCTGATTGGTATGCATTTTAGCTTTTAGTGATGGCGGGTCTCTTTGCTAAATCTTGACGTGGCAAAATCTCACTACCTCAGAACCTAACAAACACATGTTCACGATGAGCTGCTTACCAATCAGGGGCAAATAACGTCACGTGTATAACTTCATTATACGAGATTTCCCACCACATGATAATTGGCAAACAATGAAGACGTCCTGCAGCCAGTCATGCAAATGATCTCGGCTGTCCGGATGACGCCTCGTTGAAGGCTGGGGTGCCAATGTTTCGACCATCTTGTCGAGGTATTCCTAAAGGCTGGTCTGACCAGGCTAGGGGACCAGCCCTGAGAAAGGACGAGACCATCCATGAGGAAGACCACGACAAGATGGTCGAAACATCGGCACTGCAGAATTTAACGCGGCGTCGCCCGGGCAGCCAAGATAATTAGCATTGGCTAAACGTGGTCATCTTCGACCTACCTACAGGCTCCAAAGTTTGTAACATTTAATCTGAGCCATCATGTGCTCTACATTCGTATCTCGAAACGCTTAATGCAAACTCTAACGTGTGCTTGTGTCTGTGTGCCGCAGGAGGCGCAGAGCCGCAGGAGCGCCGCGTGCGCGTGCGCGAGAGCGAGAGCGAGTGCCGGGAGGTGCGAGGCCATGCAGGCCGGCGTGCTGCCTGCGCGCGAGGCGCCGGGGCCGTGGGCGTGGCGAGTGCCGCCCACCTACTGCGACGGAGCGTACCTTCCCGCAGGTGAGTTCTCACCCCACCCCCCCACCCTGCCTCCCCAGTCACCATGCTGGAGACTGGCCGGGAAATAAGTAGTAGAACTGGACGGTTGTTCAAGTGGTGAATTAATCTATATTCGAGTAAAAAATGTAAATATGTAAATATTCTGGAAGTACTGTGAAATGTGTTGAAAAAAGTGTTCAAATGCATAGGCACATAAGACATATAATTAACCATTAGCATCAATGTAAACTTTATTCCAGAATTGAAATTATGAGTACAAACGAAACATCCTTCTGTGTCTCTTACTCTCTCTTTTTTCTTTTTCTCTCTTAACTTTTCCCTCTCCCTCTCTCTCTCTCTTCTCCCCAATATATTTATTTACTCTCTCAGATCACGTACTTATTGCGGGACATCATAGGTTATTCACTGATTCTCTCTTTCTAAATACCAACTTGATAAAAATCCACTTAGGCGGGCCTGGATGTTAGATGTGTATGTGTATTTGTGTTGACCTTACGTGTTCTTCCTACGGTTTCCCCTACAGTGAAAGCAACCAGAAAGATCGCTATATGACTAAGTTGTTAAAAAGCGACGTAAAAAATTCCACTTACAAACTTTCCGAAGCACTCTATCCTATTGTTCGTGTTTTCATTAGACTTACTCCGAGAGTCTTGCGCGAACATACGACTATCGAACATTTAAATTCTATAATCGTACTATTGGGCTCTCCGTGGGAAGGAATCTGAGCTCAATTCAGCCGATGCAGTACAAGGTAGGAGTAGTACAAGGTAGTAGGGTATTCTCTCCTTCTGCCACATAGCTCCCCTTTCGCCTTAGGAGCGCCGAGGAGTAAACACACGAGAAGAGGAAAGGCTGAGAGCTCTTTCTCAGGACGACTTCGATTGTTTTTTCTATAATTTTGAGTTGAAAAGCGCTCGTGATTTAAAACTCAAAAAATAAATTTCCTCTTAGATATTAAATCAAGCATTGTATATTTTCCCTCAACATCAGACCAAATATATCATTTGGAACTTACATCCACTAGAAGAAACATTTCGACTTCCCCCCTTCTTTCCCTTGAGAAACCGATACTGATAAATTCATTAACATCTGGTCAGAAAGGTTACCCAGGAGACGGGATTAAAGAGTGGTCCCACACAGAAAAGTCTTGGAATTGGAATCTCGCGCACATTCACGAGAGTACTCAAATCGTTAGCGTAAAGGAGACTGCAGTAAGGAGTCGGGTTGGAAGCCCAGACCCTCCCCCGCCCCCTGGATGTAACAGTGCTCCCAATTGTGTTCTTGGCTTTGTGGTGGCATGGACCGATTCACATGGGCACTCATACGGAAGGACATATGATTATTGACAACATTGCTGGTTATGAAGGTAAATGTTGCAAACTAGTAGAAATGTGGAGAGGTCCAATAAATATCACTTTTGCCAATGAACATACGGTGGATAACTGCATATAATGGAGTTTTAGGCATTTATAAATGTGGCATTTGCCACTGATTGTTTTGCAAACCTGTAGATGAATTGAATTGAATTAATGAAGGTGATATCTGCAAACCTACAACCCAATCTTCTAACACATCGAAATGGAAATAAATACGTAATACAATATTTGTAAAGTACCAATAGAGAAAACAACCAACACTACACAACAGTTTATCATGGTAAAGAGTGTTCAAACAAATCAACATCAGAAGTCTCCAGGATGATATGCGCAGAGGGATTTGAGAAGATTACGAAGACACGTTTGAGAAGATTATCTATCACACATTTATCCTTACTCTAAGAGACCAACGGTGTAATTGAACACCCGTGGAGAGGGAGATGTGAATTAAGAGTACTTACTCACCACAGGAACGACACCCCTCCTGGTAAAATACAAGCTGTTTGGTATGGTAAAACAACATGGGGTTATGTTACAATTCATAGAGGCTAAGGAAACGATTTCTAACTTCATAAGATTTGCCATGTACCAACATCTTGATATCAACTTGGTGGTGTTTGGTTCTTAGAATTAAGTCAACAAATAATGATATACAAGGTATGCAAGAAACAATTTTCAACCCGAAGAAATGTGTGATCTTCAAGAATGAAATTAAATTTACATATTTTTAAAACAATAAATGATAGCAACTTTTGGTTTGGATGTACATTTTTCTTTGTCAAGTAGTTTGATCGTTGTTTTAAAAATAATAACGCAAAAGAAAGTAAACGTTTATTCTCTCTTAAATAAATAATTAATCAATCATGCTAAATGTAATGAAATTCGAAGTTAGCAATAATAATAAATTTTAATTCATTCATATCAAAATTATTTTATGAGCAGCATTTTGTTCGAAATTAAGAGAATGGTCATAACTGTTAATTTGTATCGGATAAAAATATAAATTATTATTAACAGTATATCAAGTATCATTAACAGTAAATGTCTTACATAAATTAATTTCATAAAGTAAACAAATGTCAACCCAAATATTTTTAAACCACTATATGGTGTCCAGGAATGTAGACAAAGAGTGTCAATAATATCGATAGGGATCTACCAGTCAATTGTATTATTGTTATTGTCTGATCACGAAAAAATGTCTGGATATTATAGCTCTTGTACTAAATTACATCAGCTGATGATTAAAAGTTGCACTTATAACGAAAGTCATCTAAACTAAATTTTGAATTGCGGTGATAGAGTTCAAATTGCTTCAACTATTTATTTTTATCAATTGCAATCAAATTTAACGTATCATAGTAATATTACTTGATGTTTGTGAATAATTATTAAAGAGTGCGTAGTGTTTGTAAATCCATTCTCCTCATTAACACTAAAAATATATTATCATGAATACGATTATCAAAACATTGTTTAATTTATATCAAAAGGGTTTCATAAAGCAGTAAATCAAACTCACAACATCATTATTATGTTCAAATAGCCGTACATTACATTAGAGATTACATTCATTTTATTTTCCCTAATTTTTCTCATGTGTCCATGTATAAGACACCCTAGTCCATGGCTCTTTTGATGATTAGATTTAAAGTAGTTTATAAAAGCTGTCCTACGTTCATATTTGGAAAACGGCGAACATTTCGGGAGGCGACGGGACATTCGGCCGGCGCGGGCGCTCTTCCGGGCTTGGCAGTGCGGCGGTCCGCGATCGATGCCGCTGACGTCAGCAGGGGCGCGTGACGTCAGGCCGAAGGGCCGTGACGCACAGGTAACTCGCGTCGGCAGTCACCCCGGATTCGTCACCGGCGCCGCAGCTCCCGCCGTCACGCCTTCTTCCTTTTTGCCTCGGCCCTCGCGCCCGCCGAGGGATCGCAATCGCTACGGAGAACGGACGTCCAGACGCTGACGTACACACACGGTTTGACGTGGGCGCGACGTCGCAATCGCGATGTTTTGAATTTGATGGCTTTTGGCGCTTATCTTCGGAGGACAGTATTGCTTCGGAACACTTTACAACTGATGCCCCGAAAAGTTGTATTTGTGGTTAATGGTGTTACTGGGTTATGGAAAATGCATGGACACAGTTGTACTTAATTTCGTCAGTCATGATGATAGAATACAGATATTTTTGGTAGCAACCCCCTCTCACCTCTCTCTTACACTCTCATACACACACACACACACACACACACACACACTTTTAGAATCTAAAATAACGGATATTCCAGAGCCACTTCGTCAAGTAAAACTTATGACTTCCCTTGCATGTTGCATGCAAATCTTCAGTACCAAAAACTAAACTTCAATCACTAGCTAATTAATTTGTTTCGGTACTCTACTTGTGAAAAGCTAGAGGCTCGACAGAAGACAAATAGATCACTCCTATTAACAACCTTCAATGGGTTACTATAAAGTGATTGCAGTATAGAAATAACTAATTATCAATCTCTTTCATTATGAGTCCTCATGCCTCTGTCATTTAAAACTAAAAATAAACGCTTCAACTACTACCTTTGAATGTGTAATAAGTAGATTGCCTATATGATTACCATGACCCATCCATCTCATTTAGATATTTTAAAAGTATGATAAGAGTTCAACAACTGCCGTTCACTGAAGTACTAAGTAAAAGAAAGATGATTTCGAAAAATAAGTTGAATGCAGAATTACTTCGCACAATTTATTATCATTCAAGGGTAGGCAAGTGTATATGTGATTGGTTGCGCATATTCCTTGTACTACTAATATTATAAAATTTTCAAAAAATCTTTATCTCTTTACCTGCATAATTGCAATCAATTAAATTCATAACAATGGCAATATTTCGTGCAAAAATTGCTCGAAAGATTGAATTAATTAAAGTACAAAGTGAATCTGAAGTGCCGTTGGACGAGACGTTTTAAATTCAAATTATCTTACATGAGAAAAATAGAAAAGCGTGCTATTGGAAGATTCTGCAGACATTTGTACGTTTTAATCATTAATGAACCCTGAAAATGGTTAACAATTTATTATACATGGTTTGTCTACATTTTTCGTTTTAATTCCCAGTTGGAAAACTAACCCACATTTTATATTATACACATTAATTTTTGCAGTGAAAAATCTATATACGTGAAAGTCTTGGATTATCGTACAATTGCACATGAACTGGAAGAAAAAGTAAAATAGAAATTTGAAAGATTTTTCGTTTGGTAGCAGTCGATCTTTCTTTGCAACTCTCAATTCAAACAGGTGCAACCAGAACGTCAGTTTGACCAGCTGATCGCTCTCGTAGTGTCGGTCGCTCGCAAAAGTGGCGGTAGCTGCGCTCAATGCACGCATAGCTCTGAAATCTGCTGGGAGATGGCTCTGTCGGTATGCAATTGCTCCGTTGACGTACAGAAGATATTATGAGGGAATTTTAAATCGTGTTCAAAGTCCCAAAGCAAGACCATTCAAATTATTGATTCAATGCCTGGTGTAAATTATAAAAATATTTCTTTCGTAGTTAAAAAGTATGTAATATTAGATTTTCTATTTTTAGGTGCGATTCTGAGTTAAAAGTAATTGTAGTATCGTAATATTTCATAAACAATTTATTTCAAATAACACTTTATAAGTTGTTTTGAAAAATTTACCCGTCTTCAAAATAGTGTTTTTAATAATCCATCCACAAATGAAAGAAAAAAGAAATGTAAATCATGAATAATTCTCAAAAATGTTATCGATAGAAATAAATCGACTTACTTCAAACTGCGTAAATTAAATGAAAATAATGAAATAGTAATTTTTCTCTGATTTTTTCTACGGTCCATTGCTAAATGATTTTCGATAGGCATTATATGGTGCATATTATGACACTCTACTGCATATATTTATGAAAAAAATAGTAGTTTACGAAACAAGGGCTCGAAAAAGGTGATTCATGCACAAATCGAGTGCAAGAATCGCCTCGCGCCCATTTGCGTAGACTATTAATTACAGGAATGTGAATTAAATAACAAATAACTAGAAATTCCTTAGTTGTAAAAAAGTAAATGGATTCCAATCAGTGTCGTAGCACCATTGCTTTTAAATAATAAACAAACACGTCGTCAAGACAAAAGATAATTGTTAATCGTTACAGATGTTTTGCATACGGTCTGCGACGTTTCGTACACTGTGAAAAATTTAGCTGTTTCGCACGCGGAAAGCAAGCTCGAGAAACCGCTTTCAGCGCAAACTGCGTTTTCAGCATTCGAGCACGGAAACCACTACTTTCATACACTGCTTACTGATTGGGAAGTTGCATTTTGCGGTTATACATTCAGCAAAGGAGCACAAAGGTGTCATGCCATATTTAATCAAACTTACAGAAAAATAGTTATGTCAACAAAAACTCAACATAACTGCCATTTCTCGTATTGTGAATGAGTCTAAGAATAGTTTTTAATGATTTCATTCTAAAAATAATGTACACATTTCAATTTTTTATTCGTATCCCCCAAACTAACTTTCTGTATTAGTTTTGTAAATGACTACACCCCAGAGCCAAAATGTAAATATAAATAACGCCTTAAAATATATTCCACGCAAATTCAGTCTTAATTACTTTAGTAAAGTATATAACATTAATTATCTACTTTTGGCATTCCAAAAAAATCTCTAATCAAGATTCCGTAAGAGATAGGCAACTTGGCCTTCAAAATACATCAGTTGAGTCGAAGATATAAGAAGCCAGTAGTGAGTGCTACAACAGCACATACTTTATCGCGTCAGTAATGGTTACGAACACGTAAAATTATAATATCGAAATTTCTGTCACCACATTCATGGTGGAGAGAGACCATGAGCACATCTCAAACATCACTTCTAAAACTCGAAACTCGTTACCATTCGTAGCGCATTTGGTGCGAAAAATTAAATCATTTAAAGGTTTCAACACACATTCGAAAATGCATACTCTAACACACGTTCCACATACTAAATAACGCCAATCAACAATGAGGGGATAATCCGATCATTTCAACAGTAGTGTATCGGCACAAACTTTTAACACAGTCCCGAAGCTTCGAGCGAATGTTTGGGCCAGAGGCGCCACTAGCGGCCAGAAAGCTGCTATAAGTCAGGGGTTCTAAGAAAGCCCACATATAGTTTCCGCTACGTGCAGTTTGCATAGATTTAAGTTTTCAGGAACGTTTGTTTTATTATCCATATTTCTTATAATTTATATTGTAAACATATGGCTTCTTTGTAACGTAATTGTGTCTGCGTAAATTGGAACAACCGGATCTTTCTTCGTGTAGTGTGTAGTTACGGTGCATTTTTAATTCTCATATTTTCACGTATTTTGTTTAGAACATGAAAACTACACACTTTTGTAGAAATGTGCTCTTATTTACAAATATATTTCGGTATATTTACTACGTATTAGTTTCATAAGTATTTTTCGTCAGACGAACTGTTTCGGGGCTACAATACGTAGTATTTTTTCTCAAGAAGCACTATTCTAGATACATTGCCTGACAATGATAGATTATTCTGTGAACTTCACGCCTTATCGCGACGTTCCTGTAGTTAGATTACAACTTCATAATCAGATAGCTGAAAAGTGAATCTGAAACTATCGTACATTAAATAAAAGTTGGCACAGAATTATTTTCAATAGTAAATTATAATTAAATAAGTATATATATATATATATATATATATATATATATATATATATATATATATATATATATATATCTGTGTGTGTGTGGTTGTGTGTATGTGTATGTGTATGTGTGTGTATGTGTGTGTGTGTGTGTGTGTGGGCGCGCGCGCGTGTGTGTGTGTGTGTGTGTGTGTGAACAAAGTTGGCTTACGAGTAGTTACACCAATTATAAATCAAGAATCGGCAAATCCGCGCGCGTATCCATCAAGATAAATCTTAGAAATTAGAATGATTTCTAGGCCCTGAATGAAAGCTTGAATTTAATAAATATTCAAAATTAATTACCTGGATATTACTTTGCTCTTCAAGCAAGTGATTGCGAGAACTCATGTTCTTACACGCAATATTTGTAACGCCCACATTACATGCATTTACTTTACAACTAAATAGATATAAATTTTCGCACCTTATGTTCCATTATTTGTAATATTAAGTTAATTAATTTTAGGTTAAACAATGAGAAAGGATTTTCAGAATATCCAACTGCCACTGCCTCTCAAACTACTTTTACACGCTTCAAGCAAAGCGCAGGAAATTCGAGTTTATCATTTCAAATTATTTTCCAATTTACGCAAAAAGTACTTATGACGCTTGAGTCGTCATAAATGAATAAATCATAATAACCAACGCTCCCATATGACGATTTAATTCAAACCACCCTTTAAACGTTTCCATTACTAATGAGAATGAAGTGTGAACATATTAGCGAAATCGATTGAGTAGTTTTAGCGTCTATGTACGACACACACATTCCATTTTATTTACATTTATTTAATTATTTTTATTTCGAATATATTCTTTTATTTCTAATATATTTTATCTATTTATAATCATTTTTTTGGCGCAGATCCTCGCAGCTGGACAAGAGAGGACGTTGCAACTTGGCTCAGGCATATGGCGTCAGCCCATCGACTACCGCATGTCCCTGCTGAACGATTCCTCATGAACGGGAAAGCCCTATGCCTCATGTCCATGGACATGTTCCTAGGTCGCGTGCCTCTGGGAGGAAAACTACTCTACAAAGACTTTCAGCTTAGACTCGGCCGTGCCATGTACAGCTCCGGTGCCAGTGTCGCGGACAGCTAGCAACGCCGGCGGAGGTGATAATGGCGTGCGATTCTCCAAAATGGAAGCCATGATCTGCTAGTCAGCGAAGAAGCGACACATTTCTGAACAAGAGAAAAGACAAATCCTTTTGAAGAAATTGTCGCTGGTTCATGTAGTTCACCTAATAAAGTTGTATGAATCATAAGTACTATGATTCATGACTCGACTTGTAAATGTGAGATAAGATTTACATCTCAGTAGTTTTGATATACGGCACCTTGTGATTGCTCTGTACAAAGAATGCGAATTTAACACTTACAAATTTCACGATTACAAAAAATTATTTAAATTTAGTTTTTAATTTATTAAAACGTTCGAAGAACATTCAAAATTTACTTTTTAATTTATTTAAACGTTTGCAGAAATTACTTATAAAGTGTGAAAACGTTCGACTTGTCGGAAGTGTTAAATAATTTGACTTTCTTTCTAAATTTCTGATGTACTTGTCTAAAGTTACATCACACCTGAAACCCTGTTTTGAAAATTCCAACTTTTAGATTTAAGTTAATTTTGTATGCCACAACATTAATTTCGAAAACTTGGCTACAGTCAAATAAGAAATATTTCAAAAGTACGCATATTATTGATGATTTATTTGAAAACAAAGAATGTGATGATATTATTGTTCTCTAAGACTTTATATATTCAATTCAAATATAATAAAAATATTGTTAGTACATATCTGTAACACAATGAACTTGATTATATCAACGCCACAGATCTACGTGACATTGATTTTATTGAATTTATTTATCTCTTTTCCTAATGTATTCACTAATATCTTCCTAGACACTTTTTCAGTTTAAATTTATTTCTGATTAATTCAAATAACAAAACCAATCTATACAGATATACATATTTTTTTGTAAATGAATGTATTCATGTGTACAAATATATCTTAAAAGTTTTAAAGTGTGATTTTTTTCTCGTAATTTATTCCTTAGGGGCTGTCCATAAATAACATAATGTAAATTTGGAATATTTTGAATACCTACTCTCACCTCTGTAATGAACCTGTAATGGGAGCCTGACCCCCCTAAATAATTACGTAACGCTTGCCACATCCACCCCATTTACAGAAGTAAAACAAAATTATAAAGCAGTAAAAATTAGTTGTATTAATTTTTAGTTATAAACTAAAATGTATTATAATTGAACTCACAATTAGTTGCTGAAGCAAACTGCACCTAACAATAACATTGGGGACTTTTTTTAACGAAGGAAAGACGTGTATTGAATTGAATTGAATGAATGCCTTATTTTGCGTGGCGAGACTCAGGCCTTGAGGCCTGCTCTTCCGCCTGACCACGCAAATTTCGCTACGCCCCTTTCACCAACTAGCAGAAAAAGGAGGTATTTCTTGGGCGAGAAACAGGTGATTTTAATTTAGCTCAGAGACGTCATTTAGACTTAAGGATCTTTTACATGCAAGTAAATCTATCATGGAACAGCCGGCTTTACTTCCCCTCCGAAGGATTTTTCGCCCTTAAAATCCACGGTTTCGATCGAGTTTGTACCCGCCTTGGGTATAACAATCTGATAGCTAACCGTTACACCATTGCCGCGCGCTGTGTAGGCCAGAAAATTTCTTAAACAAGCCGTGCAAACGCCAAGCCGCATCGTGGACGACGCTTGAGTCCCGAGCGCCAATTTAATTGGATTCTGGAACATTATAAATTAGTTTTGAATATTTTCAGCGAAATCTAACAGATTCAATCAACATACCATTGATAAAAAATATTTCCATTTATTGTATACAAGTAATATTATGTCCCTATAGTTACAGCGCTCTTGGTGGAGGCTCGCCGAACTAGTGGCCGCCATGTTACAGAATCATTCATCCATGTTACATTCTCTTAGATAATGGAAACGAGAAACCTTGAAAACTAGTGGCCTTTTCCGTTCAATTAAAGGAAACCTACGAAAAAGTGAAGATACTCCTAAAGTATACTGTGTATTCGAATCACAAATGTAAAATCGGTGGTGACTTCAAAGTTCTGGGAGTTCTTGTAGGAATACTATTAATACAATCTGCTCACACAAAACATTGCTATTTCCGGTGACAGAGGGAACGTAGGGCAAGAAAAAACATATAATAAAAGAGTGGGCTTTGAGAAAAATACTCAATCCTGGTGAAAAAAATTTTAATTCAAGAATCCGTTGGCAAAGAAAATGAGCAGTTACCACCACTCCATCTGAAATTGGGCTCTATGAAGAATTTTGAAAAAACCAATGATCAAAGAAGGTCAGTGTTTTCAATTTTTACAATCCCAAATTACTGTTATTAATACTGTAAAAATTAAAATAATTTGAGAAGGCATCTTGGCCTTCATTGAAATTCGACACTTCCTTGGGAAACGTAATGTTAGAGAATTACAATGAACTGACGGGACACATGCTAGACTGTTTCAAGGCTATGGGGAGCAACATGTCTCTGAAATTATATTTTGTTCATTCCCATTTCGATTTCTTCCCATCTAATTTTGGAAAAGTGAGTGACTAACATAGTGAGCGATTTCACCAATCTATCGCTGCCGTGGAAAGGCGATATAAGGGAGGATGGTCACCAAACCTTTTGATGAATTATTGCTGGACACTCCTACAATAAGTAACACTATCCACCCACAAACAGAACCTTTTTCTGGAAACGTTCCAACTTGTAAGTACATTTTAAGCTTTATTCAGTTTTCTGGTACTATTTTCACTTTGTTTTGTAATACTAACAATTAGATATACAAATAATTTAATACAAAACTATTTTGTTATTCAAATAATTTTTGTTACTTGATCTGTTGATTAATACACTACAGATTTCGCCTGTATTGTTATTGAGTCATTTCCAAGTTTCTCGAAAGTGGTATACAAGTCGTATCATTTCCAGAAAAATTGGTATGAAATATTTCTGATCTAATTTTCGAACTTTCGTACTTTCATCTTGCGGTGAAGCACAAAGTTGAAATTTGTTTAACTATGTTATCGGGGTGGGCGTTAGCTGATCGAAATTTTAAGATACGTCACAACTTTTCAAGCCAATGTTCGACCATATTGATTCTTGTGGCGTGGACCCACAAGAGGTGGGTTTTGACTACAGAATGTATTAAAATTAGAGGAAGTTAATAACTACTCATAGGAACAAGAATCAACCATTTTTTCGGTACCAGAGACCCGCAATGCAAGTTTTTTTCTGTCAAAATCCTTTCCGCTGAAGCATTACAGTACTGTCTATGCTACGTAAAGTCATATACGAGAAAGTCAAATAAAGAATTGAATACTCGTGTAACACTGAGAACGGGACCAGAATACCAAAGATTCGACGATTACAATCTCATCTTATCAACTTCATCATCAACATAAAAAAATTCTACATCTCAAATGATTAGCATCAGTAACTTTCAACATGGTCATTAATCTTTGGAGTAGTTGCCGTATGTAGATTCGTGAAATCGCTTTAAACTGTTTTTATTGAATTTGTTGCTTAAAAATGTCATAACGTTAAGACTCGTTTTATGTCAGTTTCCCTGCTCTATTCAGCCAAAACTGAGATGGCCTCTTGTTTTGCTTCTGAACGTACCAATTGTAGCTTCACTATGCGCACATTTTGTTGGTCTATTCTTGCTCGTGGTGGTTGGAGTAGAGCCGGAGGTGTGTTACTATTTAGTTAGCACTGCAAAACAATCAAACGTTCAATCCGTTTCCCAATACAAATAATTTTTCTATAACTCGGGAACGAGCATATCTATTTTTTCCCAAATGTTTTTAATCTCGCATTTTAATTAATATTATTTTTGTTCATTTTTTAAAATCTTGTATTAGTCTTTCAACTGTTTACAGGTAAAATGTTAGGGATATTCTGGAGCTCCCCAAAAACCGAGCGCAGACGTTACTTTTATTATAGCGGACTAGGCTTATTCATTTGATTTATTTAGTCAAAGAACAGCAATCACTGTACATGACGATAGAGGGCGAGTCGTGCCATTCTGATCATTCATCTTAACTGATGTGATAAAAACAATTACTACGTACAAGATTTTTTTTAAAAACGGCAGGTGCTAGATCTTATCTCGAATTTGCACCTCTTCTTTGCTTTCAAGGATTAGGGCGATGCCTGTTTCGGCCTCTCAGTTCATCTTCTTGGGCGACCTGGATCTTTTCTTCCTCGGGGCCTATATTTCATAGCTTCTCTTGGGTATCTTTCATCAGTCATTCTTTCCATTTCGTTTTTTCTTCTACACGAGTGGTTAGTGAGAAGATATGGAGTTCACTTCGTATGTCAGTATTTCTTATTCTATCGAGTCTAGTGCAGCCTTTATCTATTCGGCAATTCTTTGAAATTTATGTAATTTATTTTCTATATCTTCATCCCACTCATAAGAAATATTACAACCTAAGTAATTAAATGTTTTTACTTGTTACAGAATGTGTTTATCCACGACTATCTTAGTTCTGACAGTATATTTTCCATGGAAAGCCATAGTTTTAGTTTTTGGAACGGATATTTCCATGTTATATTCATATCCAATTTTTTGGAGGGAATGCAAATTATCTTCTGTATCTTGTAGAATTATCTGGTTATCTGCGAACATCAAGGTGTTAATTGAGATATTATTTGAGAGTAGGATGCCTTGTGGAACATTAGATTGCCATTCGCGTATCATATCATCGAGATAAATACTAAATAATGTCGGTGATAAGCTGCAACCTTGTCTTACGCCTTGGTTTATAAAAAAATCCTGCGAACATTTTCCTCCAATGTCAATGATTGCTTTATTGTTTTCATATAAAAAGAGTGGTGGTAAAGAGCTTGTCTTTCTTCAGTACCATTCTGTAAGTATCTGGTGTCTGCTAGTCTTTTTCTTCAATAGCTGTTTTAATTTCATATTTTAAGACTACTACTTCTAATAATTTTACTTTTCTTCCTTAAGACTTCATAGGTTACTTTTAGGATACTATCTTTTATGATCTTCTATTCATCCTCTATGTCATCGCATTAGGGTTTTTTAGTGCTTCTGTTAGCCTCTTTTCATATAGATTTCTTATACTTCTTTCTTCTAAAATATATGTCTTGAACACTTTCTCATTCGGAGCTCTGTTTTTTCATATTCCAATTATATCATTTTGCAAGTACATCTAACTTTGTCACTACTAAATAGTGATCTGAATAAATATCAGCCCCTCTAAATACACGGGTATCTCACTTTTGGTGATAGTTTTTGGTTTACAATGACATTGTCTATGAAATCCTCTAGCGCTCCAAATATATTTATTAATCATGTACCTACTATACGTATTCTCGTCACGATGTAATTATTTGTTATTTCATATCGTTATACCAAGCCGGTCAGATGGCCGAGATTGTTCGGGCAGAAATGCCGTAACGGTACAGAAAACTGCGGGTTCGTGTCCCTCCTCGGACATAGGTGTATTTGTATATGTCTGAACATGTGTACCGCCCTTCAATCCCTCATCACCGCCATCATCATCTCATCGTCCATACCGCCAGGGCTAATAACCTTGGACAATAAAAAACGGGATTCAGCTAAAATGCTGATCCCCCCGAAAGGTACTAGCACCCACACAGCAATAAAGGATAGCTTGCACCTGCTGAAGCAGAATGAACGCGTGGTCAGAGTTGGCCCATAAGCTGAAAAAAATTCGTTATACAAAGTCCAGTGGCCACTGCTGAACGCTGTTAGAGATTTGTCTATCTCTATCTGCTTCTGACATACATGCAGTCTTTAAACACATTTTCTCAAAAACCGCTCCTTCCCCCGGCACACTTGATGGAACACGAAACGCTTACAATAATGGTGCAGGTCACAATTTCGTTGAACTCTCTGAATTTTCGAAAATTGCAAATTTAGAAATAATGTGAAAAAGTATGTGCTGTTGTAGCACAGCTAATTTTAATATTTTTTTTTTCCAAAACGCCCGTCCATCTGTGAACAACTCTATTGCCTCAACCAGGATTGTCCAACTGGTGGCCCGCGAAAGTCAGTCAAAAGTGGAAGTCCTATGCATCCATGTCGAGCGAGAACATTATGCTCCTAGCGCACGCGCTCTGCGGGGGTCAACACGCCCTTTATGTGAAAATAGGTTGTTTAGATTAAATTATTTTTTCTAGTAAATTCAAAATCATCCCAATCATTCACTGCCTTATGCGTGGTACGCCCTGATGCCGCGCATTGTTCTATCCCCCTCCCCCGTTTCTGAGCAGCCGGACAAACTTCCGAGATCAACATGACGGGGAAGTCAGGTGTAGATCGCCCGAGTAATGTAAATATGGCCTGCGACCATATTAAAGGAATTTGTTACGATCCTTGTGGCCGTGCGCATTCTACACCTCTGGCCTAAACTAGGATTTTTTGTCAAAATTAATATTTTTCCCATTGATGTCCTGGGTTGAAGTTTTGGGCATAATCCAATTTTCACTGTTGACCATGAAATTTTTTCAACCCCTCTGTACAATTACATGATTAAATATAATTTTTTTTTTCAATTAAAGTTTTTAAATTAATATCGGGTACATTGTTTTGAATATATTTGTTTTCGAGTAATTTTGAGAAATATAGGCAATATACATGTAAAAAATTCAATAAAACACAATTTATTTAAACTTTCTATTAGTTTAGTGCTAAATACATTGAAAAACACACATACAGGCCATTTTGATGTAATGTTTTGGCTACATATATGTACTACTATTTTTGAAATTTCTCTCATGTACTTCCTTAAGAGGCTTTTATCATACATTACTGCATTTCAAAATGTGATGTATAAAAATGTATATAGTACTTGTACATAAAATCAGTTCTCATGAAGTTGTCAGTGGAAATGAGCTCAAAATTGTATATTTTTAAAAATGTTGCAATGACACCTTCTCAAAATTTTTCCATTACAGTACAGTTATATGCACATAGGCCCAGGTTTTTCTCTTGTATAAAATTCTAAAAGTTCTATTTCAATTCTAGTTTTAGGAGACTGGTTATTTGAGAAAACATTTTAAAAATGCCTTTTGGGTCAATATGTAGCAGGTGGGAAGTCAATAAGGGGTGAGACAAAACTGAAAAGTTAGCCCAGATTAAAGAGGACAGAAAAGTAAGTAGTTTGGGAAAGTGCGCTATTCTGTTGCATTAGATGTTTTTTTCACTTGTACATTGACTGTGAATAGCTGAACAACCAAAATTATTACATTGAAAATAGATATTTACAAAATTTCCTACAAGGTTATTTGTATTTAGTTTTCCTATTCCCAATAGCTTTCCCGATATTTGCTTGGGGAAAACGATAATTTTCAAACAATGCCTTATTGTCTGTTTTTCAACCAACTTTGCTCCTGAGTCCTTTGTTTCACAGCAATATCTCCACATTAGAAGTTGTAGATAATTAAAAGACACTTAAAATGAGTTATTTCCTATTTTATCTTCAAATAATCAGAAGATACATAATTTGAAATGATTGAAGAGTTTCTACTTCTTTTTATGCACACCCTAATCATAAAAGCAGCTTGAAGAACATGACAGCTTAACTTTTACACCCAACCAAAAGAAAAACATTGTTGGTTTGATCCCAAGGACACAACACCTACCAGAGTGTTGTAACAGAAACTGAGACAATTAACATTAGAAAGCTACAGCTTCATTCTGGCCTCATCTAGGAATCAAACTCCAAGAAATACATGTATATTACTGCCACCACCTAAGTAAATTTGTAGGTTCCAGAATATAATATAGCCAGACAAGCCAGGATTCATTTCAGAGGAGGGGTAACATCAGAAGTATTACAATGGGGCAAAAGGAGTGAATTATCTCAGGAATTAACATGAAAGACACACTATGACGTAATATATTTTATTCAAAATACAGAGAAAGTCAGTATATGTGTGATGTCTGTGAACATCTGCCGTGTGAGTAACATGTGTAAGTACATTTGTATGTTCCAGAATGTATGTACATTTGTAAATATGAATGTAATATGTTCTGGATATTAAATTGCTGATTCAAACAAAAACATAATACTCAAAGATTCAATCTTAATATTATTTCATTGACTTTGAGAATGGGGACTTCTGAGTAACCATTTGCCTCAACGGCAAATTTTGAACTGAATTTTTCCATATGTTTTTGTTTCCAGATGAAATTACATGTTTGTAAAAACATAGGGTCCATCAAAATTTCTTGGATACAAATAATGTTCCCTTCCCTTCCCCTTCAAGTCAATATCCTTGGCTATGTTCCATCCTCTGGATATAGACTTCCCTTTCTCAAATTTGAGTAATGAAAACACTTTACCTTTAAACACACATTTGTATTACATGAATGGTAAGATAAATACATTAGTTAAAATTACAACTGTATACAAATGAACACTTGCTCCCCTCATTTCTGCATTTTTAGAGGCCGCTTTACCCATAGATACCGTTTTCTAGGGCATAAAAATAAGTTAATTTTACAAATCATGACATATTTTCACCCTAAAGTTGGCAAAGAAAAACAAATCTTAAAGGCAATACATATAAACGTACGTACCTAACATAAATACATACAATCTTAATATATGCGCACAGGCAATTAATACAAATATACTCATTGTTGGGCAGTTATACATTTATAGAATAACATTAATCACTCACAGTTCTGATAATTCCCAATTAGTTGGACAAAGCAGTAGAACATATTATTTAAGACCAAAATCTAGTCAAGAAATTTATGTTCAGAAAATATTAGACTTTTAACACAAGCCAAAATCAAGTATTATATGTAATTTTTAAGTTCAAGATTTAACATTAATAATACTACTGTTTTCTTCAACACAAAAGAATATGAATTACAAATAGAGCAGCAGAAATTCACTTAATGCAAATGTTTGTATCAAAAAACAATTTACGATTGCCTTTAAACATGAGTTAATGACAGAATAACATTATTAGAACTATACACAATCTCCAACAACGTATTTTTCTCTTATACTACACACATCAGAAAAAAAATATTTACTAATTCTTTTTGGTTTTATAAGAATCAATGTATTGTTTATCTATTAGCAATTTGTTTCTAATATTAACATCAATAGTTCTCTAACATAGAAATTAACAATTAAATTTCAAATCTCGTTATAACAATATGATATAATAAACTTCAAGGATGTTGTGTCATTCACTTTCTACACTGATATCATTATTGCTGGGATTTGTGCAGAAATGTGCTGTTAATTGACCAATATACTTCTGAACAATATATATTAAATGGGTATTTTTTGACCACAAATTCTAAAATCTGAAGACTTTTATCTTATAATTGGCAGTATGCAACTTCAGTGGTAATATGATGAGCTAGACTGTTCTCACCCACGCTATTAATACTTAATATGAAATCCCTAAATGCAGAAAAAATGCATTTTCTCTAGTAAACTTGTTGTCAATCCTTAGGTACATGTATGTCTAGAACGAAATCTGTATTTGAAAACCTTTCCCTTTCATAATATTTTCAAATAAATCAAAATTATGAATATTTTCATGCAAATGTAAGTGATTTAAAATTCAAATTCAAAAGTAGTTGTGTGTTCACTTCAGTGTACCTAATGCACAATCTGTTCTAATATTTGAAAAGTAAGAAGATAAAAGGGTGGATATCACTTACATGTCTCTATCACTGGATCTTTAAAAAAAAAAAAAAGAAGAAGAAGAAGGAACACCATAAACATTAGATATTGCAAAAAAAGATATGGCACTTTTAGAGCCAAACTTTCACAACTCATAAATGATGTGATAAAATTTGAGAACTTGTATCAGATTCCACATATCACAGTCAAGGAAAATTATGCCTCATGCTTGTCGATAACATCTGTAGTCATTCAAGAATCAGCTTCCCCCAAAATTTCCATCGTGTGAAAATTGAAGTAGTACTGGCACTATATATTTTGCACAACTTATTGGCACATTTATTTTTGTTATAAAACATCACAGCAAACATAAAAATATGATCCTCTCAAGAGAGATAGATAGATAAGATTTTCATATGGTAACTTGCAGATTTCAGCTTATTCATTCATAAACAATAAATATTAATACATCTAGAAATACCTTTATTGCCTCTCCAAACAGGTTTGTTTTATTTCTGGACTAAGCAATCTTTGGTATCACTCAATTTCAGTCTTAAGGGCTCAAAAAAATAAATAAATAAAATAAAAAAGATTATTTGCATAATCTCTACCGAACAATGCATTGTCACTAACAATTTGTGTAAATCTAGAAGTATTAATGAAAATAAACTAAATTAATGATTTTAATTTTAGTAGCACAACAAAACTAACTAATATACACCAAAACCAATAAATAACAGTGATGATTGTCACATTTGTGTGCTCATTTTGCTGTGTATTGTGTAACATGTTACAAATTCTGCATATTCTAGAACAGTTTTCTTTAATCTTCCAGAATTTGGCAGGCCACTCAATATATAGTCCACAAGTGATCATATTAAATCCTTGAAACATTTCATTAAAATAAACAGGAATATATTGCAACAAATTTTCTTTAACTTCTGATGAAATTGAACGCAGCCTTTCTATTTGTTTTTTGCTCTTTTCTCTTGTTCTGATGTGTTTTCCTCATTATGTATTTGTAAGTAATTATTTGAATTACAGTTCAATGATGAAAATGTTTATATGTTGAGACAGTAAGGCACTGTGTTAGCAATATTTTTGTAACAATAAAACACTTCATACAGAAATAGAAGAGAAAAATGAAATAAACAGTGAATATAACTACAAATTAAGAACATTAAAAAATATTTTTCACTAAACGCTGTAAGAATAAGCTCTTTAAATAGTGGATGAATAAGATTGCCTAGACCTGGACTTGTTCCTACTATTTATTTTCACATTTTGGAATTTTTAAGGAAAGCTATTATGGCATTACAAAAATTCAAGTTGTTCCAAAAAGAGATAACATTGAACACCATCAAGTTGCTCATGCAAGTATCAATACCTCCACCCACACATATTCAGTAATTACTCATCTGACTATCTATTCAATTAATTCAACTTCACAATCAATTCCTCATAAGAAAACGTCATATTTACAGTTTTTATTACATAAAGTTCGGTTATTGAAGTATTGCTGGACACTGTCTTACTGAACTGGAAGATGCAAAATAATGCTCAACTGAAAGTTACTTTCTTCTAATTCAAGCTTTAACACACTACGCAATATTACCTCCCATGCTTATTTCAAGTTCCAAACTATTTTGGTGAGAACAATAATTATACTAAAAGTTCTTCCATCATTCATGTAATTATTTGAATTGAATATGTTTTGGCAACTTTACACACATACAAATGCATGCATACATACAACTTAACAACCATTCTTGTTATCTTTGGAAAAAAATGTGTGTGTATATATACATACACTGAAAATTCTGGCAAGACAATACATTTAGTGTGTATGTGTGTGTTGCAGTGCTTCAGTAAAAAAATACACATTAAAACTGTGCTTTTCTCTAAACAAATCTGAAGAAAATAACTCCTGAGATTCTGGAAATTTCTAAGGTTTAAGGTAGTATAAAACAAATAACAGCACCCCAATACACACCTTCAAATGAATTACTCATGCAGGACAGGAGAGGCAATAACCACAAGCACCATTGCATTAAATCACAAAGCCTGGGGAGCTACCTCTTATTTCATCTACCTGAAAGACTACACAACCTTTGGAACTGATCTAGTATCTTAACACTTGTAAACACATAGAATTCCTCACTTTTTTAATTAATTTATCTACCGTCCCCTTTGATATGTTCGACATTTATATTACAATTTATTAACAAGGTTTAAATAAATTTGTATATAATTATCATTACATTTTAAGATAATCAATAGAATCATAATGTTTTTCAGAAACAAAATTCACTACTTTGAAAGTTAAAAATTCCATCAAATTATTATTCAATTCTAAACATGTAATTAAGCTATTACAAATTTTCTTTGAACAATATACTAAATTTCTAATGATTTATTTTCATTAATAGATGAAATTTGTTTAAAAACAGATGGATAGTTTATTGAATGATCCTATGAAAAATTAAAAAAATAAAAAGGATAAGAAGTACCTACATTTGTTATAAACTACATAGCAACTCAGGCACAAGCAAATTTTAGTCAATACACAAAGGTCAGGATGAACACTGAAGGTTTTAAGAACTTTGGAGGTCTCTACAGATGCTGTTTAAAGGATCCCCTGATGAATTATGAACAGCTGCTCAGCCCAGCCAACTGCTAGCCTGACACGATGATCCATGTTAATGCAATTGCCCCAACATCCACTTCACTCTGTGGAACAGAAGGTACACTCAGCTGCTTCATTCTACAGCACACCCTGTTTAGACAACCATAATTGTTGTTTCCCCTTCCCCTTATCTTTGTCCAGAAACATTACCTTCCCAGGCATAATGTTTTGTAAAAGGAAACATGTATAATTCAGTGCCTCAAAATATTGGTAGGATGAACAGTTGGAAACTCATGTCGACTCCCAAATCCCATGTTTCAGTCCCATTTTCACACCAAACAATTTTAGGCAACAACTTTATGGTTATCTATGAGAATTTGCATGAAAAATCTCGTTACAACAAAACCTATACCAAATAACACATTTCAAATCTACCACTGGAATATGAGCATTTGGGAGTCAGATTTGATTTCATACTCTGTACAAAACTTTGTACATCAAGTACCTTCCACCATTTGTTATAACGAGATTTCAAATTAATAGTTCTAAAGAAATGGATACTCCAATTTACAATTTCCATTACAGTTTAGCTGTAGTCCCAGGCATCAATGTTATTTGCAAGTACGTTGAGAGCATTCAAACAAAATTTTAAGTTAGGACAAATGCAACAAAGGAAAATTAAAGGGCAAAAAATACAGTAAACCAAAGATATAGTTCATGGAACCAGGTGGAATTGGGAATAAAAAAACAAAACAAACACTACTGTTTTAAACATATTATTTTATAAGAATGGTACATATTCATAGTACATCGCATTTTTACCAAAAATAATTTCCATAAAAATAAGAAAGAAAATACTTTTATTTCCTTGTCTGGTATCTTTCCCCGGGCAGCAATATTTTTTTAAAACATCTAATCTAAACCTAATACATCACAGTATATGGGCAAAAAACACATTTAATGAGAAAGACACAATCTCAATTTACTTCTGTGATGTTTTTTCCTTTTGGCAGCATGTATGACAATAGATCAAATAATTCACGTCCACTAACCTATCACACCTCAAAATAATCTTGCTCCCAATGATGCAATCAAAAATCAAGCAACCAGTATAGCAAAGGTAATGGAAGTGCAGCTGCAATGGTTTGATAACATGTTTAATATGATATACCAATTATTGAATCAAATAATCCCATTTCCTGGGGAAACAATACATATCAAAAAAATATAAAATACAACACATCAAATGAATATAAAAATTAAAATAATCTTTTCTCATATGAGAACAGTCCATGGACATTGCCTTCAACTTGTGCAGATTGAGTCCTACGCTCAAATTTCAGTTCTCCAGAATACATCATGGACCTGAGAATTGAAAGGCTACGAGCACCGATGTCCTGACAACCATGTCTCAATCCACACTGTAAGTATGGCAGAAATCTAAGCACTGAGCCCTTGTCCACAATCGAACCACTAACACCTTGAGCCACTTTCAGCTTGTCTGTTTCACTATGAAAATAACGATCAGCTGCACCTCCACCTTTAACATCTTTACGGTCCATTGCTTCCAGGCTACCCATACCACGGTACTTTTTCAAACGAACTCCATCTGAGAAGTAATATTCTCCAGGAGCTTCAGTAGTACCAGCCAAAAGTGATCCCATCATGACAGTGGATGCTCCAAGGGAAAGAGCTTTAATTATGTGTCCAACAGACTGAATCCCTCCATCAGCTATCACTGGTACACCAAACCTACGAGCATATTCTGCTACTTTATATACAGCGGTTCCCTGTGGTCGACCAACTGCCATCACTTCTTGTGTGATACAAATAGACCCACTTCCCATACCAACTCTAAGACCATCCACCCCAGCATCAATTAGATTCTTTGCTTGAGCGGCAGTCACTACATTACCACCTATCACCTGCAGATCTGGATAGGTTTGTTTTATATACCGTATCATATCAATTTGATACACAGAATTCCCTTGAGAAGAGTCTATTAACACCACATCAACTCCTGCTTGGGCCAAAAGAGTCAACCTTTGCTTGTCTTCTTCTCTTGTACCCACAGCAGCTCCTACCAACAGCTGCTTGTTCTCATCCTTTGAAGCACTAGGATAGTTGCGAGACTTCTTGAGATCTGTACGTGCAATAAGAGCAACAAGCTCTTGTTTCTCATTCACAATTGGCAGTTTTCCTTTTTTTGATTTTTCCAGAATGCTATTGGCTTCTTCTAATGTAACACCTGATGAAGCTGTAACAAGTTGCTCCAATTTTGTCATCACACTATCAAGTTTAAAACAACTAGTTTGAGATTCCTTCAAAAAGTCAATGTCGCGAGATGTAACCATACCTAATAATTTTCCTCCAAGCTTACCATTTTCAGTGACAGGAATGCCACAGAAACCCTTTTCTTTCTTCACCCTAAGGACATCTCCAATGCTGTGGTTGGGACTCAGAACCACAGGATCTCGTATAAATCCTTGTTTGTACTTCTTAACTTTATGAACCTCATTTGCCTGGTATTCTGGTGTACAGTTATGGTGAATTATACCAATACCACCACAAAGAGCCATTGCAATTGCCATGTCAGATTCGGTCACAGTGTCCATTGGAGAGGAAACTAACGGTGCTTTCAATGAGATCTTCTTAGTTAGTGCAGAAGTGAGATCAACTTCATCAGCAGTAAAATCAATGAAGCCCGGCAATATAATAAAATCATTGTAAGTTAACCCATCACCATTTGAAAACAACTGGGCGCCGGTCAATCCATCCTCTGGTACGTATCCTGTACCTCCACAAATTAAATAATCGGCCATTATTCACCACTAACGCTGAAATTCTTTCAATTTACTGTCAATAACTTAACCGCCACGTGTTGGTCTTACACATACAAAAATCGAACGTCCGGCCTCTCACCTCCCTCCAGCAAACGACAGGCCGGAGAGGCAGCGGCGAAGAACGCACAGTGTATTTATACCCGTGGTGACATAACCAACAGGTTTTCGCGTTGAAGGCAAGCACACTCCGCCTTCTAAATGTTTCTCGCTCAAATTTCAGCGTCAGAGATCTAAAGCTTATATTAATACATTATATTACAAAAATAATTAAATAAAATACTATTTTAAAAAATTGCGACACTATTGTAGAGGCAACGTACTTAAAACCAAAACTAAATCAAGAGTATTGATCTCTTCGCGCGTCTTCCCCTCTTTCCCCTACTCCTTGCTATATAGAACGAGCAAGGAACAAGATTCTTCCGTGGAACGACAGTATAAAAGTCCAATCTCAACCAACCAAGCAAGCAACCACCCGCGCTACCTTCTTAACTTGCCACGCTATCGATCATGTCAGCTTAGCAATTCGGAACTGCGCTTCCGCTACGCAATATCGCAAAACTATTAAAATATATTATAATAGTAAACATTAATCAATAATTATTTAATTTTCTCTCTCTTTCAAGATAATATGGAGGAGCAAAAATTGTATTATTAAGAAAGTAATATTTTTATAATTTACGAATAATGAGAAAGAATTTTATTGGGTAAGAGACAAGAACGTCACATTCGGTTTATTCTACCTGTTGAAAATATTTTTTAACAAGGTGGAATGGAGGGGTTATAAAATGAAATTGAATCACCGATTTAATTAATTTCAAAGATTATGATGAAGCATGACAATAAATAATTTAATTTAATTCATAAGTAAGCCCTAAATTTAGATAATGGTAGTAAACAAAGTTACTAAAACATCTCATTATGCTTCTTACCATTTCTTTCTAAAGCAGTATGTCTCCTTCACACAGTTAGTTTTTTTCTGTAAGAAATTTAATCCATGACTTTCATTCAAACATACTCCTAAAATCATGAGACTCGTTTCATTGTTGACTGAATAAAACTAGCAATGGTTGGGAACTGTTCTCATACCTTTACATCTTCAATAATTGAAAAAACAGAAGAAATAAAATATTATATAATATGGCAAAAATAATGAAAAATATACAAGGAATTATACAAACACTTGCCATGGGCTGACCAAAAAAGGTGATAATTGAATGATGACATCTAAAAATCATCTTTGCAGATGTTTATTTATGGAGAAATAGATTATTCTAATCTTCATAGACTCAATGAAAATTGAAATAGTTTGAGTATCCAGCATTAAATGAATTTTAAAAACATTCGTAACACACATATTTGTTTTCATATTTAACTGAATGCACATGTAATATATTAGAATAAATTCTTATTCATAAACAAAAAATAAATTATTGCATCAGAATAAATTATCACAGAATTGTTATTGGTGGAAACATGTCTTAACTTTATTTTGGGAGTATTTTTAAGGTTAATGAAATGTGTAAATGTAAGAATGAATGAAATACTCCATAGATCTCAGCTTTCAACACATCCAGATACAACGTTTCTAGGCCATCTTAACAATTTATATGCTGAGCCAGGCAATGTCCACATGAGTGCCTTATGTGACGAAAGTAGAGCAAGAGGCTTATCTTGATTAGATTTGCCTGGTGGGATTTAGAAGGCTTCTTTGAGCCACAAATGTAAAAGCTAACCACAATCAAATATAACATCTTTCAATTTTATGTGCTATATGTTCAGAAAATACAATTAGATAAAAAGCTGTGAAATAGTGTTCATCAGAAAAAATAGGTATTTTTCTTAGTAATAATATAAAAATAAATAATATGTTCAGTTAAAAAATTTGTCTAGTTGTTGAAATTCATAAATCTAAAAGAATTTATTTTGATTTCTGGTTCAATAATAATTAGTATAATAGACTTGACTAGAGTAATGTCAATCTACTTTACAAATGGATGCAACTTCAGGGTTGCAGAGAAATTGGAGATCTATGCATGAATTTGTATTGTAAAAAATCGTGAAAATGAAAGATTTTTTTGAAGTGTATTACATATCAGGTACAGAAAGTTTAGTTATAGCACATTTTTAGTTTACTGAAAATATATAAGTACTCCATTGATGAAAAACTTTCAAGAAAAATAGTTAAATATAAAATGTGTGATTTCTTATATAACAATACAAATTCAAGTAATATTAAATAGTGAGATAGTTTAGTCATTTTTTAGCAATTTTTCAACAATTAAAGGTCATGTTCACTTGAAATTTTCTGAATTAAAATAGAATGAAAATGTATTTCAAAAAGTTTTCACGACACTGCATCATTGGTTACACTGAAGTGATTACTGTAAAACAGATAAAATAAAATATTCACAAAAAAGTACCATATTTTGAAGCCACCATTGCATTTTTTGAATTCCTTTAGCTTTTGAAACTATTTTTGCTTGATTTTCTAAACGGAACTTTGTGATTTATACAATCTAGACAGTTGGCTTATGAAATGTGATTTACAAACAATTCCAATCAGCAAATTCTGGAATTAACAAGTGAAGTTTTAATATATTACCATCCTCTTAAATCAAGATACTCTATGTAAATGTGTAGTAACGAAATGTTCTTAATACAACTGATCAGAAAATTTCTTACAAGAATCTTTTTTTTTTCTTTTATCGACACAGTTATAAGTATGATTCAGAATATTCTATGTCTGATTGACTGGCTCGAGAACTATGAGTGTATATTGACACTCCTGCCCCAAAGGCAGAATCTGAAGTCCCTTCACCAGTCACAAAATCTGCTACAATCAAAGAATCTTTGTGGGCTAGCAAACCTGTGTTTGGGGCATCCTTCACTGCATCTACACCAGTCAGTGCACCTTTAATGGCTTCCTTTTCCTGCAAGCGCAATTTCAAAATCCGAATTTTTTCTTCTTTCTGCACAACAAACAAATCATTATTAATAACAAAATGGCTTTTCATGATACAACGAAATGCATTAACCAATATCTTCTCAATATCACTGACAAAAGAACTTCATCTTCATTGTAATTAAATGTAAATTAAATTAGTTTCAACTTAGTAACAACTGAATTCTCTAAACATACTTTCTTTTCAGCATGCGTGTCTGTAGATGAAAAGAGTGCAGAACTCTAAAGCCAATACAATTAAAAACAACTTACTGCAGTTATTAATTTTTGTAACTCTTCATTTTCTGCCACTAATTTTTGATATTTTTCTTCATCTTCTTTGCTCATCCCCACATCAGGGTTATACTTTGATTCTGCTTTGTCCCGAGGATGTTGAATTACTTCTATCACCTAGAAAAAAATCTCCATTATTTACTGGAACCATTACAATATTTTCTCTACACTATGTAAGTAGTATACAAAAAAGGAAAAAGAAGAATGTATTAAATTAATTAACATAATATAAGACAATATAATAAAATATGGAGGAGTCCCATTAGTACGTTTTTCAAGGGGCCAAAAATTGAGAATATGGGAAACAGGAAAACATGATAATGAAAAATGCTGAATTTATACTTACTTTTCACATTTCTAACTGCAAACCACTTTAAATACAGCAAACTAATGGATATGAAAATAACACGCAAATATACACGGGATGAACTAATTCACTCATAAATGACATTGAATAAACTGAATTACACAAAAAAGCACTAAAAGTAATTCACATTAAGGACTCTGGCACCCAAGCATTGCATTGACGTGCATCATCTAATGCTAATGACAAAGGCCCAGATGTTTATGGCATGTCATATTGTTTCCTTTGCGTTATTTCCATGGATAATGTAAGTTTAGTATAATTTTATGAAGAAAACCTAAATTATGCAATTTTCACATGTCATATTTAGTCATAATTTGGCATTTTTAAATATTTTGGTCATTTTCTGTAAATGTTTCATATTATGGTCATATTTTTCCTGAATTTTTGTACTTTTTGTTTCATTTTAATTTTTGCTTGCTTGCTGTCGTCTCAAAGATATTTTTCTTATTTCTTATAATTGTTGTATCTAATTGCTGTGTGTGTGTGTGTGTGTGAATTAGGGGGAAGCTATAAAGAAGCATAAAAAGAAAGCATAGAAATCATGAGTGGCGAAGGAAATGTTGATTTAGTTTTGTCAGGATATGTTTCAAGGTCAATCACTTTTATTAATATATTATATAAATAATTTTACCTGGTAGAATTGTCTTCATAGGGTGAATTGTGCATGTGCTAGATGTTATGAGTATATTTTCAATATAATGTTTATTTAAACAGCAAAAACATTTTGAAGTTTTGGAAAATGCAACTACAATTTTTTTAAGTCATATTGATGGTCATCTTTTCATAATTTTTTGGGGGTCATACCTGCTTGCATATTTCTAACATTTTTAGGCCATAAACATCCGTGCCCTACTAATAACTTTAGTTGCACCAATGCCCGAGCACACGAATTACTTAACGCACGTAGTAGATCAACGCTGTATCTGACGCGAAACGGCACACGAGCGCTCTTGGCAACGTGCGTTGTTGATAATGCGCGTCACGCATTGAAAACTAAAAAAACGTGCATTATCTAGACACGTGGTTTGAGAGTCTCGCTGGACCTTGCGAGCACAATGCACGTCACCAAGGGCGCTTAGATGCCGTTTCGCCCAAGGTAAGGTGTTAATCTACGTCGTACGTTAAGCGACTCGGCGGCATAGGCATTGACGCAACTGACAACAGCATTAGTTAACGCGCGTCAATACAACGCTCGTGCGCCCCAGGCCTAACAAAAATCAAAAAGGCGCGGTGGGTACAGCGAAACAGAAGAAGCACTAGAATCAGACTATGTGAAAGAAGTAGGGTTACCAGAGACCTAGATGAAAAAATCAGGATCATCAAAAAATCATTGGGCTAAAAAATTAGGACATTACACAGAACATCAAGACAGTTTTTATAATGACCTACAGGTACAGTTTTTGTACTACTATAGAAGAAAGATCAATTTATTGTTAATTCTGCACTGGACGGTAAATTATGACTATGGCAGCTTTATAATTAATGATTATTCCTATCTCTGTTTCAATATTTCCCGTACATTATAGGGATAAGACATACCTATTGTTCTTACAGTTATAAAAACTGAGTTTCACTTCTAATATAACTTTTTTCTCTAAAGCAGTTTTATTTATTTTAGAAATAAGTAGATGACAAGACTAAAAAAATCAGGACTTTTAAAAACAAATCAGGACATGTATTGATAAATCAGGGGATCTGGTAACCTTAGAAAGAAGTATCCAAAAGTACCATGAAAACAATATACAGATAATGCAGATAACGCTTGTGCACTGGAACAAAAAAAATGTGTCTACACACTTACCTATACAAATTTTGAACGGGCTAAGTAGTATTGTAAACAAATAATTTGAGGGAATTGGGGCTGGGACTTGAAAATGTGAACATGCTAACCGGGAAAACGTGATAATGAGGAATGTGCTAACAAAATTCAACTGTATTTTGAATTGATAAACAAGAGAAACAGTTCCAGAAAGAACACAACAGTAAACAAAACTTCTAACAAAATCCTGGTTCTAAAGTATAAAAACAAACAGTAATCTCCAGAAATATTTTGTAAGATGTTTAGGGGCCAATGCTTGTTAAAACTACAGTTACAGAAACATTGGGGGTTGTTAATAGTCCATTTGAGATGACATCCTAAAATTAATAATTTGCATGAAATGCACAATTGTAAAATATGTATAAATTAATCAAAATAATTAATTAATACTGGATTTCATCTTGTTTCTCTATATTTCCACAACTTTTTTGTATTAAAAAATATTTTAACAAAATTTTAAATACTGAGAAAAAGTATTAAATGTTGCTGTTCCATCTCTATTTTGGCATGTTCTAAATATCTGAAGTACAGGAATGTCTAAGAAAGAACAGATTTCAGAGGTATACAAATCTGATAATTTTTTTTCTAATTACAACGGCTTTCAGTTTTCACAATAAGAGACTATTTTGTTTCAAGCAGTTAAAATAAATGTGAAAATGATGCTTTAAAGTAAATTTTGGTGTGTCAAAATTCCTAGAATGAAATTAAAATTCATATTTTTCAGTAAATGTTATCCACATTTGCCACATGATAATGTTGAAATTAAGTCGACTCAGGACACTGAGGCAAGTACGCATAGATGTGTTTGTTTTCCTAATTTACTAATGTGTGTATCATTCCATTTTATTCATGACCAATTGTCATCATTTTTGTAGATTTCTTTTATGTGCAGCAGAGAATGTTTAGCAGCATCTTTAGTGCGGTTTTCATTCAGTTTTATCACATTCTTTGAAATTATCAATTTTCAATTTCAGTTATCACAGAAATTCTGACAAAGCCAAGAAGGCAATGACTGATGTTTTCTTTTACCTTGCATAAATGCAATCACTAAGTTTAGATTTTATATTTCATTTCACACTAAATATTTCATCAACTGATCTTTGTAAATACAAAATTCAGCGTTCAAAATACTGCAAAATTATGAATTAATTCTTAAAGCTGCATGAAATGTCTGGATGAAAGCTGCTCTTCAAAGTACATTTCAATTTTTTAAAACTGAGTTCTGAAACTGTATTAAATAAATTAATTTGTAATTCGTGTTAAGAAATGAAATGAAAATGAAAGCACTTTCTATCAATAAAGAAGCTACTAAAACAAAAGATTTTCATAAGAAATTTACATTTACTATATGCTGAAAATACCTTAAATATAATAATTTTCTTTCTCTGGTGATTTTTATTAATTCATTCTAATGAAGCATATCAATTGCAACATACTTGGACAGAATGATGTTGAATACCTTCCCATATAAATAAAATCAACAAAGTGCCTTGCATGTTTCATGGTATTGTAAGAGAAACGTTTTTACATACTTCATCCTAAGTATATTGCAATAAATATATTTTGTTAGTATTTACTGCTGTTGAGAAAAATACTGTTAACTATTATTGATAAAATTCTTTAGGGATCAAATTTGTTTTAGAATTCATGATTGTTTACAGAAGGAATTTTGTTGAAAGTCATGGTGCAGAACAATTATGTATTAAAAAGAAAAAGGAATAAAAGACCATCATTAAAGGTGATAGAAAACAGGAAAAGGACCTGAATAGGGCATATTTTTGGAAGAAAGCACAGTTCTAATAGAAATCTTAAAAGTGTATGGGTACATTGCAGAAAATTAAAGGAGAGAAAGAAAGATAATTCAAATATTGGATGAGTCGATAGAAAGGAAGAAGTAGATATAATACTACAAAATGTGATGAAATGAGACTTTGTGAAAAAAATAAATGGATATGTAGGATAAATGGATTGAAAATCATATAGAAGCATATCTAGGTATTCAAACACCCATGGCAAGCATAGGATTTGCTCTGTCAGAATACTTAAAATTAGGGATGTTGATATTTTTTTTGGCAGGTACACTCTACTCTAAATAGTGAGTGACAACCATGGCATGTGTGTCGGCCATACTGTAGATTTGCTTTTTATATCACATAAAGATAAGAATACAATGAATTGTTTCAATATTTACAGGGCATAGCTTGTTTATATTACAATAAATTGGGTATGTACTACATTAAAATTTATATTTTTATATTATTATTATTATTATTATTATTATTATTATTATTATTATTATTATTATTATTATTATTACATTGTTATGCATATCACACATTCACTCTTATCTTTTTTATTTAGAAAGCTGGCGTTTACCTCAAAAAATCTTTGTAACTGGGAATACAAGTATTAAGAACTATCCTACCTACACATTTATAATATTGAGGTTGAGGTTAGGTTGGTGGAATTGAGTAAATAGAAATTTACAACTGGAGGAAATAAAAAATGTCACTGTAATCTTTTCCATCTACACTAACCATCTTGTCCTCTAATCCCTGTTTATCATATTTCTGCTGATCCTCATCACTGAAATAACAACACAATCATCCCTAGCAGTCTTGTATTCCCTAATGTGCACAAAATGCATTTTAAGTCTGCATTTAAATTTGCTTTACACTGAAAAATGCATTTAAATAGACTTTAAGCTGTTTCTACTTTGGACTTGATCTGCACATTTCAGTTAGGGTGTCAATTATCGGGCTAATTCACAAATTACCCAAATTTAGAGTTTAGCTGCGCACACAAATATGGAATATAAAATTTTACTAAGAATCCTCCTCCTCTGACTAGGAAAATCTTGAGTCCCTCCTGAAAGAAAATCCTGGCTAGAAGCCTAACAATACTCTGAAAAACTCTGAAAATCACGGCAACCATTGAGTAGTAGTAGTAGTGGGAGGTGCGCATGGGCTTATTGGCCCTCTTCGTTAGATATGAAAGTTCACACTCAAGGAGGTAGCCCTCTACAGGAGCACAATATTCCTTTCCCATCGATTTTTTTCTTCACTTTTTGAGCCATGAAGGCTGGCAAAACATTGTTCTGTACATCACAGTCTGAACGTTATTTAGAATTTAAAAAATCACTTTTAAAACTACGAGATGTATTTGGAAATAATGTGTGTGTGTTTTGGGTGTGGGTGGAATCCTCATCAGAGGTGCTGGTGTTAACTTAAATAATTCAAAACTAATATTCTCTGTTTTATTAATTTACAAACACATCAGTATGAGATCACACAATGTGAAAAGATACAGCTACAAACATAAAGCACCATGGACAGCATGTACAAGCACACAGATTTAAAACTGAGTCTTAAATCAGGAATATGAATTGTATAGAATTACATTATCCTACAAAACTAAATGAAAAACTGCTTACCTTTGGTACAAAGATGAGAGCCATGCTGAGAAAGCAACAAAAAATGATGGCCAAGGCCACAAAAGCAAAGCTAGCATCTTGTTGAGATGCTATGACCATAGTGACAGGGGCAGTAATAACACATAAAACCACCACATTGTAAATGGACATTCCAACATAACGAGAATCATTAATCTGCTTCACTTTTATACTGCGAGTCTCATAGGCCAGAAATAGTCCAAATAACAATACTAGGCCCTTGTACCCATACATAACACCTGCAAATAAATAAATCATGCTTCCTCAATCATTCTTCTTCTGTTTCTCAATATTTTTAAATAAACAAAACCATGAATCATTTTTAAAAAAATTACATCATTTAGATCATTACGTGACAACATCTATGCACACACCTCTTCGCTAATTGGATAAATTCAAGAACATCATTTTACATGTGCACATGTTACAGTGTGATGTAACAATTTATCAATTTAATTGAAAATAAATACCCTATTGTAAATAGTATTAATATAATAATGTTCATATATGTACACAGATACATTATATTCTTTGTAATTTGAACCCAGATAATTCAAATTTATTGACTAATTTGAACATAATCTTATTCCCCTTGGAAGCCATATTCAAAACTAACATGAACATTTCTCACTTGATTTAGATTTTTGAACCTCTTAACAAATTGCTCAATACCAGAATTTGTTTAATTTGATGATTTATTGAATCACACTCAAGCTTTGACCTTTTGTGCTCCTACGTTGAGACAGGTTCAATGAAAAAATTGGTCTTCCGCTCAGATGTCAAGTCTCCCTCAACATACGTTTTTTGTTATTTGGGTGCCAAAGTCATGCTATGTTTCACAGGATATGTACACCAGTAGGGTAAACAATTGGATTATGTATCTATCATTTGCACTGTTGTGTAGCTTCAGATTATAATAAAGTTTATTGGGTTATAATTTGGTTCATGTTATATTGAACTAAACTATATCAATACCTTCCTGCCTAGTGACAACAGCATAGTGGGTACAGCATGTGGGAAACCTTAACTTTGAGTGCAAACAAAGCAAAAGTCAAGCTTGCATATGTATTGTATTCTTTCAGTTTGTTAGACAGCTTATTGGTTAGAAATGAACTGGTTAGAAATTTAGAACCATTTGATAGAGCCTGGCATACTGTATTCATATATAAAGTATGTGTATGTCAATAACTTAGGTACAATAATGGAGTACCACAGTACTTTCCCCAGTACTATTTAATATCTTGCCTCCCTCTCCCCCTCCCCAATCAAATCCCGGAAAAACTAATGTGAAATTTTTTCCAAGAAAATGCATCACAAGGACTAGCCCAAACCCGATGAAGTCCTAAATCCTTCCCCTATCCTACTTCCTTCCCAATTCTGGCCAGGTGTGACGCAGGAGCACGTGGTAGGAGAGGCGTACGCGGAGATGGTACCCGGCAGTTCTCTTGACAACTGACTACATTGAAACATGGCAGATATGTCAATATTAATGAATGGAGGATTACTCTGAAAGCACAAAGCGCTCACCCCCCCTCCTCCCAAGGGTCTTGGAGATGGGTTGCATCTATGTGGTAGGCGCATCAAATAAAAATAAATAAAAAAAAGGTTGAACAAGAATAATAAGTATATTAAAAAAAATGGAAGTGTAGTGTTATCAATCTAACATATTTTCATTGTTAATTCACCTAATCACTTTTTTTTTGTTACCTCCAAACCATCCTTGTTATGAGGGTACAATGATGGTGTGCCAGTGAAATTTAAATAAAGAACTGATGGGTAAGCAGGGCTCTGAGATTTGAGGGCATAGGGCTGATGATGTCATTCATATAATTAATAAAATTGAAGATTTAATGAAATTAATGAAAAAAATTAATGAAAATGAAACAAAGAGATTCAAACAAAAATCATGAACAGCTTCAATAAATAATTGACAGCTAATGTTGCCTGTGACAGATATTGTGCAGAAATAGTCTTCATTGTAGTCTTTGACATATATTCATAGTTTGTTTAAAAAAATATAATTTTTTCAACCAGTTTTTATGGTGAAAATTTCACTGCATGTTGCTTTTTTTTCAGTACTTAAGTAACTTTCAAAAAATTATTTTTCTACAATCTCATTTCATTTTCTTATTTGATGGCTGTCACTCATAGTGATCAGCTTCATTACATTCAAGGTCTTCGACCAACTACAGAGAAGTTTACAATTGAGAAGTAATAAATCACTGTTCTCTCACATTTTTTGTTGGATTGTGTATGTGCTGAGACAACCTTTGGGGAGGTAATTATAAACGACACATATCTGCAAAATTGTCTGTCTCCAGAATTCAGAAGAAAAACAGAATAATGAAGCTCCCTGTGGGTGCTGTATCAATTACTAAGCTGATAAGAAAATAAAGACAGGTATTGAAATTCAATTACTTTTCTTAAATAAACAGAATCCCAACTTAACACATGTACTAGTCTTTTAAAGATGGATTGTGTTTATGTTTAACCCATGCAACTTGCAACACCTAGGAGAAAGTCTGCTAAGTTATATTGGTTGAATATGAAATACTGTACACCAGCTGCCACTAACATTTCAATGTAAAAATTCATCTTACAATAAATATCATTAGTAGTTAAAAATATAATGTTTATGGAACTACTTTATAATGTTAAGTTTTACTGCATAAGTACACATTTTAGAATTTTTAGATGCAATAATCCAACATTATAAACAAGTGGAATATGATACTATTTTGTAAAACAATATTAGAAATGTATAAACAAACCAAATTAATTTTGGAAACAAATTTCAAAAGCAGTCTTGCAGTTGGCAACCTAGTACTACGAAGTCACGCAGTGAGGACAAATAGGGGGGATGGGCAGAAAGGTCAGGAGGGCAGGCAATGAGGACAAATGAAAAGGCTGAGTGGAGAGATCTAAAAGGGAGGCCAACCGAGAAGGTCAACAGCGAGGATGAGTGGAGAGGATGAGCTGTGCCATAAAATGGCAATTTATGAATGATTTATTGCAACAGAAAAGTCATTTATAATGCTGTTATACAAAAAAGTACTATACGAAACTCAAGGCAATGGGTATTATTACACTCATCTGAAATTTACAACACTCCCTCATTCATTGCTCATATCATAATATCATTTCATTCTCACACTTGTTCGTACTCATCATTGCATTATCCTTTGAAAATGCACTATTTAACAATCCACATTTTCATGAACTAAATTTTCTGATAAATTTAGCTTTTTTGTATTACAGGGTTCAAATTACACTAATAACTTGAAGGTACAGCAATATAAAGGATAACGAACATTAATAATATAGATATATACATATCAAAACTCAAATGGAACAATCACTTTAAATAAAATATTTTAGAACAGCTATTAACTAGAAGAAAAAGGAATTGGTAAGATATTTCCCCTTGTGACCTTCTCCAATAAAAACACACAGTTTATACGAATGAAAATAAATCAGTTCACAAGAAAGCAGATGACAATAAAGCAGAAAGAAATAGCATAAGCAGCATGCAAAATTTAAAGTAATATAAATTTCATACTCGGTCACATTTTTTCATAATCATATTGAGCATTCTGATGCAGGGGACATTCCAGAGTGGACACCAGTGGTTGGCAGCTACAGAACTACATCCAAGAGCTCAGTGGGATAAGTGAAAGCAAAACTGCAAATGAAGGTTAATAAATCAATTTAAAAGGTACATAAAAAAAATTAAAAAAATTTTTAAAAAATCTTATAAAAAGAGCTATAAAATTAAAAGTTGTTAGACATAAAACTCTTAGTTACATAGCAGTTCTGACCACACAATTCTCCCATATTATTACTGCAACTATTTGTTTTCCAGGTACCTCAGCTTACAGAATTGAAATACAAATGTTTCATTAAAACACTGTTGTAGTAGTAGTAGTAGTAGTAATAGTATAATATAATATAATAATAATAGTAATAGAAACAACAAACAACAATAATAATAATAATAATAATAATAATAATAATAATAATAATAATAATAATAATAATAATAATTAGGGAGCAGATTTTGATGACCATTGCCAAAAATTTTCAATAAAATGTTCTTAAAACGGTTTAAAAATGCCATAAAAACAAAGAAAAATTACGTAAAAAATTGATTAAAACCACTAGAGGTAAACAACTTAAGTTGTTGGATAGGTTACTGACGTAATAGAGGCTTCTTCCTTTTGTTCAAGTGAACTCCGCTGAAAAACTTTTGGTTTGGGCTGTTCTTTAAAAGAAAATTTCCGCCTTTATTGTGAAATCGTCTGAACTCACAATGGTGCTGATAGGCATCACGGGAACCTTACATTACATAGTACTCACAATGGCTGACATTACAATATATGAACGAAGAGATCGAAAAGGCTACTCAGGAATTCTGTGTTGGACATTTGATGAATCTCATAAATATTTTTTGAAGCAAGAACCATTAAAATTATAATAAAATCAATGAAATCATCAAAAAAGGCATTAGAATTATGAAAACTTTAAAAAAATCACTTATTAGTCAAAATCAACAAAAATGCAAAAAAGTGGACACATACTTGTAAATATGGATCATTTCATTTTGTCCTAACATAAAATGGATTTCTATAGTACACGGCACTGTTCTAAAGTAAATAGAAAAAAAATGACATTTCATTAAAATCCACCTCCTTATAATATTAATAATAATATTAATAATAATAATAATAATAATAATAATAATAATAATAATAATAATAATAATAATAATAATAATCATTCAGTTTCTATTTCAAAACTATTTAAAAAATTAAAATTTAAAACCTGTGCAAGAATAAAAGCATGAGAATGCAACATTCATAGGCTGCAGTAGTAAGACAACTCAAAAAATTAAATTACAGGAAAATATGCTAAAAATACTAACTGACAATTGAGTTGCTAATGCTTAATAATTGATGGTTTCGAAAAGTATACCAAATACTATTAATACATATAATTACTTTATAGGAATCCTATAAAATAATTTGGAAATTAGTTTTTTTTTTTAATGATGCCAGTTTTGCAAGCCATCAATAACTTAAGCACTGTTCAAATTCTGAGAAAAAATAAAACTAATGATTAATCTCTTTAGCTTAACGATATATTTCTATTAACCACAAACCCTTATTGTTGAAGATCCTTTTCTGGAATGTTAACAATCCATGAAAATGCTTTTTTAACTTACCCAGCCAAACATTATTGTTTTCGCTCTCACAATGTTCCAATTCAGGTCTGATCTTGATGTCGTCTTCAGAAGAAAGAGGATCCTCTAAAGGAAAAACTTCTATATGTCGTTCTAAAGGATCAGTGAACTGCCAAGCCAAAAGAAGGACGAGATCAACCAAAAGGAATCCTGTCACCATGAGGTATAATTTCCATGGCTCCACCTTCTGCAGGAAAAAGATTCACAATCAAGAGATATTTTTCAACTCAAATCTTTCAAACAAATTGGGTAAATTTAAGCATAAATCATTATTTAAAAGTTATGCAACCACTACTGCACTTTTGAAGCAACATTTATTGCTACTGCATACATCATATTTATATCGCTTGAAACCATGAAATACTTCTATAACTATAAAAGGATTAGGCAATCTGCTGCTTGCTATGTGACCCTTACACTGTTAGAGATGAATTATTATACTGTTTTAGGATTGACATTGCATCCAGGCAAAATAAATAATATGTAAATCAATAGCTGTGTTTCAGAAACAACAAACGAAGGAATAACATATATTTATATATATTATTCAACACAAAATATATTCAAAATATTCCTTTGCTCTTTTGTCCATCACAAATCGAGATCAGAAATCCTGCACATCAATACTTACACTTGGCGCGTGAGGTTTATAAGCTGAAGGTGATTGTGAAGATATACGCCTTTTTTTGATGGCCTGTTTGAACAAAGTAATTTGAAAGTTTGGTTAATTGAAGAAGAGAGATACAGGTGGGATCGGTGAATATAACATAAGGTGAGAGCTAGAAAAACACCACCTTCTCTGTATATAGTAAATGATCTTTTGAAGTCTAACGAGAAAATATACATCTATAAGTAAGTAAATTAATATATTATGATATCCATTATTACTGTTTAAGTATAAAGAGATGAACATTAAAAAAAATATTTATTTTTAAACTATGCAAATTAATGATACAATCGTGAAACATGCAGTTTTTAATTGGTAAAGATTATTTAGTAACACAAACTGTAAATAGAGTGAAAACGTGTAGAATAATGAAGAGGGTCATCAGCCATGAACAATAACCCCATTATAAGCATAAAAGCGGAGCTTGTGCATTAGCAAATTAAATATTTTCTTCGAGCAATTCACTATCAATAAAGATCATGAAAAAAATGTTCTCATTTAAGCAATGAAAGCCACAAACAACTGCAAACGTGAGAGAAGAAACAAATCTCTTGCAAATAAATAAATAAAAATGAATTAACCAGAAAAGTTGATAAACTCACCCTCAAAACTTACTGAAGTGACACAATTAGCAAGCAACAGAGACCTAATCACAATTTTTAATTTTTACAATTAAATTTATGTCTATATTGTTCAAAGTAATGATATTAACAATTCTATCATGTATAAAATGTAAAATAATAAAACATAATAAAGAAGTTCTTGATGCTCTTTTTCTTACAGTTTTTAGTTAAAAGTTGACAAAAAAGGTTTTACAAAATTGACAAAAAAGTTAATTTTTTGAAAGAAAACATTTTTTTTTATATTTTTTAACATATTTTTATTTTTTTTTATCAATTTTCTAGACTGGAGATGAAAAGATACAATAAAGATGAAAATTATGTTCAAAATATCTCTACAAAATACTTCAGTAACTGTTTCTCTGCCAAGAAATGAGGATGTATCAATAATCCATTATTATTTCTCAAGTTAAAACAGAAACAGTTAAAGTATTCACAGAACATTTATAAAATATGTTTACACTATCTGAAAGATCTTAATTCAAAGAAAGTGGTAGCAAGTGCTAACCACTTAAAGTAAGAAGAAATTTGTGCACACACACAAGATTGTATTGTATATGCAAAACATGATTGATAAGTGTATGATAAGAAAACATTAAGTGAATGATCACAATAAATAAGTGTGTGATAAGAACACATTCTCAATAAGAAATTCAGTTATTGCCAGACATCTACCAGAAATAATGGAGCTGTTAATGTTTTTTTCCGTTTTGAATGAACTTTCAATTGTTCAGAACTTTTAATATAGATTAGGATTTTAAAATTTCATTTACAGTATGAACTGATATTGATCTTATGACAAAATTATTTGACACTTTAGAAGATAAATTTACAAACAACAAAATAATACAGTCTTCACTTGCAGCTTCTGTCAGTGACAATACCTGATTTTCTACACAAGAAACAAATGTTAAATATCATCTGCTACCTAAAACACAATTAGAAGTGAAAGTGCAGATATTTGATTATAGATAACAGGTGTTCCCACATAATGATGGGGTGGAAGTAAAATAAAATTCAATGAAAATTCACTCTTGAAAATTATACAATTACACATCTCTTGGGTGCTCTGCACCTCAGAAAACAATAAATTAATAAGATATTTGAAAAAAAATTAATAAAATGTTTGTATCAATAAAACAATTCTTATTCAATGTAATATCTAAAATAGATAAGATTAGTGATTATCTAGAATTTTCTTCTCAGTTTATACCCAATGCCACTAGTAAGATGTTACGAGTATTTTAATATGAAAAAAATGAGCGGAATCTGTTCTTCCTGACTTTAAATGTCAGAAAATATTTCTCACTCCACCGTTTCAGACTGCTTATTTTTAAAATAAACTAATTATTTATTAAAATTTTCCAACACAAAACACACACACAAATTGGCAAAACATGAAGTTAGGCAAAAAATAGCCTCCTCCCGAATGCGTAAGTATAAAATTAATGGACAAAATGAATACTATGATAGAATGCACTAACATGACTAACATTTATGACAATGTATTAGCTGCTCTGAGAATTGAAAAACATCCAAAATAATAACTGATCGCTCGCTTAATAACTGTTCCGACCCAGCACAGAATGTAGCACTTCCCTCTCCTGACTTAAGATGTTCTATCCGTATTCATGACCTGATGGTAGATGAATCGTAAACTACTCTTTCATTGCCACACACAATTTGAGGATGCGTACACCCCATTGCTAGCCAGTTCTCGAGGAGGTGCGATCACATGGAATGGGGCTCCGCTACTGAAGTGCAATTCTTCTCAATGAAATTATAGATGTTGATAAATAAATAGAGATATTGTCAGGTATCAATATTTTAATTCAACTAATGATCATTTCGATCGCGTAGCGACCATCCTCAGAGCTAAAAACAATACAAATATACAATGTGAAATATTAACAGGTTGGTTATTGTCCGGCGGCTGCATATTCTAAAGATTCGGCTTCTAATGGAGTCCAGGAGCACCTCCCACTCAGCAGGATGTAGTGAAGAGGACAGGTGTAGAGATAGTTCATATTTCTGCAGTGAGAGACGGTCACGAGTAGCGTACCATCGTTTCCTCTCCCAATGTAGCCAGGAAGAGCGGGCTGCAGCGGTTGCTTTCGAGGCGGCAAATGACGAGCTTTTGATTTGAATATTGATGAATTTAGGGGTTACTCCCCTAACGATGCATTGTGTTATGAACCATATATGTAAGTTTGCCAGACCAAATTTCAGGGATGTCTTGTAAAAGTCTGAGACCAACGAGGCTTGACTAGCCGACATCATTAATTGGATTGTTGGTGAAGTAGATACCTTTTTTATTTTGATAAATAAATGGAGATATTGTCAGGTATCAATATTTTAATTCAAGTATTAAACATTCGTGTGTTTCATTTCATCACCGACTTTTTATTTATTTATGTCAAAAACAGTTTAAAAACTGTGTGTGACGTATTATGTGGAGAAGTTATTTTGAAGTTACATTTATGTCCAGAAGCAAAACAGGGGGGCCATCAGCATTAGCTCAAGGATCAGGGAAACTGGACGAAAACCAGTTCGAGATGGGGATCATTGACCCATAAGCTGAAGTACACTACTTGTTACAGGAGCTATAGGATTAAACAATACAAATGGTAAAAAATACATTAAATGTGCTTGTTAAAATAAATATTACTTTCCTTTTAGATGCTCGGTATAGTCTCTAATTGTATAGAAACAGTTGTGCAGCAGAAAAGATTTTACTTAGGACTTACACTTTTGTATCGAATTTACTCAATTAATGCCATCTGGAAAGGTGTTGTAAAATAATGTTCATGTATTGGGTGTGCATTTTTTGTAGTAAGCTGTTGATACTGCCACCTGGTAAATATGATCACTATGTCGAGTGTTGTAGTTTTAGACAACGGCGTTTGTTGAAAATACATTACCGCCCTTAAATAAGTCATTTTTGACAAAAACCACTGGTTGATGAATCAAGAGACAAGGTAATGGTAAAATATCTAGGTTAATAAAGAGAGGTTCACAAGAACCATGTGGATTGGATTTGCTTATTATTCGTACAATTCGTTTTTGTAATCTAAATGTCTGGGAGCTATAAGATGTATTTCTCCAGAATATTATGCCATACCTCAGGCGAGAATGAATATTCAAGAAATACACACAATGAACAGTATGAAGGCTGACCGATTCTGAATTATTAAAGCGTAGCATAACAAACTAAATTTAGTGTTCAATTCATTTAAATGGAGATTCCAGGTTCGACTGAAGTGACAGACTAAATATTGTATTATTTATGGTTTCTTTATTGTGAAGAATATTCGTATCATCCGCAAAGAAAACTGTTATTCTGTTTCTAATCATCGTGGGAATATCATTTACGTACAGTAGGAAGAGAATAGAGCCTAAAATCAATCCCCGTGCCACTCCGGTACGCCGCCTCCATTGACGAACAATATTTTTTCTCTCTCCCAAATGTCTTTGTTCCTGGAAGGGACCAACAATTTTCTTATCTGGATTAAATGGTTTCATAAGTATAAAAAATAGGTCTACTGCTAGATGACTAGCCTGAGATCAGTGCTGAGCCACAGCATAAAGATAGTGTTTTATAGACAAAATTGTTGAAGTGAGTAAAATAAAAGCATAATGATTAAGCCTTAATTAGTTATGTTGCTACAAAAAGCAAGAAGGAAGAAAAACTGACATGAAAGGCAATATTTATTTGAATAAAAAATACATGAATTTCCAAAATTAAAATTATTTTTCTTTTCAAAGGATTTTCAGCTTATATATACTTACAATTTGTGGCTAATAAGGTGCCAGTGCACACAATTGAAAAAATTGATGTGAAAATGTGTAGATACTGGTTTTACCTTTATATCTGTCTTGGCCTTTGTTGTGAGGCGGTGAACACGCCACACCTTACTGAACATCGCTCCATAAGCCAAGGTGAAGCCCAAGCACAGCATCCATGCTCTTGCTTGACACACAGTGGGATACATAGAGGGTCGAACATACTGCCCATCCAATCCCAAGAGAAACACTGAACAAAGACATACACAGCAGCCAGCCAGCATGATTGTGTTACACACAGGATGAGATGACTGGATTACCCTGCAAAAAGATCCCACTTAGCACAAAAAACACTTAGCTTTCAGAAAAAAGTAATTAAGTGGAAAAAAGAACAAAGAAGAGAAAAAAGGAACAGTAAGCACAGAACATTTATTACAGGAAGTTTACACTTCAGAACACACAACACTGACATACCTTCTATGACGAAACAGAATATTAAAAATTATTAGACCAATTGCTGCAATAATGCCTAAACTGGATATAACACACATACAAATAAAAAGAGGAGTAGATACATTCCGTAATTCTCGTCGAACAATTGTACGATCCTGAGGTACTTTTCCACCTTCAGAAAGAAAAACAGTGTCAATTAAATGGTAAATATTAATCAATTAGTTCCCCAAAAATTGCATAAAATTAGACGTGCAGCACTCACCAATCCATCGCTCAAAATTATGCCACGTAAGATTGTCAGCTTGAGTGTCATAGTACCCTAATTTCACATACTTTCCATCTACCATCTGTTCAATCTGTGTTAAAGCTATCCTGTCTCCTTGAGAGCTGAAGGCAACATGGCCCTGTGAAATAAGGCACATAGTAACCCATATTAATAATTTTAACTTTCCTCTCTAAAAAAAAATTAATTACAAATTTTCAAATTATTTTTTAAGGAAAAGAGTGAATAACTTTTGTGGAAATAACTGAAATCATTAAGTAAGATACAATGTGCATAAGAATGCATAAGAAAATACACACAAACTCTATGGTCTTGTGAGCTGACTTAGCACTGACTTAATTAAAGGAATGGTCTGGTCCCAAAATTTGAGAATCATCCTACTACTGTATGCAGTGTTGTAGTATGAAGCAGAAAAATCCTAAGACATTCTATAATGTTAATTCAGTATTATAAGCTCCTGATTGTCTCTTTTGACTACTATTGAGGACGTTTAGACGGCAGTAAAATTAATTTTCAAGACTCACTTTGCAGGGTTCATCTTGAGAATATTTTTTGGTTTAAGATTTATTTTCCACCTTGGCCTTCAAAGAAAGTATTTTATCATAACAATGCTGATTGACTTTATAATAATTGTTCATGGCCATATGGATTATTTATAAACTCAAATGGATATTCATGCAAAATTTATTTTCACAAAGATACATGCCTTTAATGACATGAAAATAACCAATATTACATGAACACTGACAATCTAGACCAGGGGTGTCCAACTTGAAAGGTCTCAAGGATCACTACTAAAACCTGTAATATGGTTGCGGGCCATATATTCATTAAATCAGGCACTTACCTGACTTCCCTGTATTGTTTATCTCAGCAGTTTGCCTGGCTGCTCTGAAACGAAGGGAGGAATGGAACCATGCATGATATTATGCTCTACCATGAAGTTGTCACAGAGAAACACACAGAGATGATTTTGAGCATACTAGAAAAAAAACTTCAAATATAAACTTAATTTACATAAAGTATTTCTCATAAAGGGGGCGTTGACCACAAAATGGATGCAAAGATCTTTCACTTTTAACTAATAACCTTTTGCAGGCCGCAATAAATAGCACCGCAGGCCACCAGTTGGACAACCCTGATCTACATTTTTTTGGCAACCCAATCATTTCTTCCAAACTTTGGGAAGTTATTTAGGACGACAAATTAAGGAATCTTGAAAAAGAAGTAATCAACCAAAAAGTTATTGAAATTTTGAGTTTTACTTGCACCAATATAATATCTCAAACAATTCAATGCAAAGATGAATTTTTGAAACCCAATTTACAAGCACATGAGAGAATTATACTGAACTGGAGAAATATATTTTTTCAACAGCAGCAGAAACCCCAGTTTTAATCTGCATGAATATTACTACTGCATACAGGAGGGTTACAATAAATGTAGAGTAATAAACACAAGGAATAAAGTGCTTGAAAACTGGGAAGAGGTTTCCTGATGGAATCGGGAATCTTCTTTTTCAATTTACCGTGTTTCATGGCCAGATATATAGTTTTAAATTAATACAATCTCAATTAATAATATTTTAAAATAAAGTGTATTGCTATATTAATATTTATTGAACAAAATTGTACAATATTGTTTGAATAGTATTATGACTTATTATACCTTGCCAAACTAACAATATTTTCATGCAAACTAATCAAAAACCTACATTTGTTCACTTATTTTTATGCAACGTTCCATTGTGGAAGTCTTCATACTCAAACATAATACTGCTTATTTTCAAAAGGTGCAAAGGTATTCAAAGGCTTTTAACTTGTAACAATAAGTGTTGTATCAATAGGTTTTGGATTCATTAACAATTCATAGAATACTGCTATGTACACTCATTTTGAAGTTGATTAGCATTGGCAAGATAAAATACTTTCCTTGTTGGTAAGGCCCTCTCAGGCTTCAGTGTGTGAAGTATTTTTGAGCAGTACACATTCATTACTGTAACTAATTCTTAAATTCCCAGATCATATTGTTCCCTATTATTATCATCATCGAAACGAAAGGAGTGCGAGCCTGCCAGCAAAACTTTTACCCCGACCCACTTTATAAAAGTGGGTCTTACTGCTAATGCAAGTAGTGTTATTACCTTAAATAATAAAAATATTACCTAAAATAGACCCTCTTTTACCCGTGCCCATCTGCATTGCGGGCCTTGCAGGCCCGAACATTACGCATCTGTTCCCGATATGTATTAATAAAAAAGGTGTACCCTACAAGCATTATTTTGAGAGCAATCTCACAACAAAATAATTTCGAGAGGTATCATACAGCCTCTAAAAACATACTTGTCCTCCAACTGACATCTAGTTAACTTTCATCTAGTCTACAATAATTTTGAAAAAAAGACAACTCTGATTTTTAAAAGAAAATATGTACTTTCTTTGTCTATTCAAAACATTTCTGACAAAGGGAAAAAAGAAAATTGCTAAGATGATCCATAGCCATAACTTTTATACTTGATTTATCTAGCTAGAAAATATATAGCTTCTTAAAATTTTTCTTTGAAGAGCAACAAAGCCTTCCATGAAAAAAAAATCTTTTAAAAAAAGAGAAGCTTTCTTGTCTTTAATGAAACATTCACAAACGTTTAAAAAGTTAGGGAAAAGGCAAAAATTATTATACATAGTCTGAGGTAAATTTATAGGGTCCTTAGCTTAACTTGCAACCCATGTCTGGGAGCACTTGTTCTTGTTTAGGCAAACTGGCTACCACATGTTTTTACCACCTTTCAAGACGGCCTTGCCATGCATTTCGAGACAGCAGAGGCAGTGACCATCAGGCCATAAGCTGCAGCAGCTTTCCTGTTTCTGTGTTTTTTCCCATTCAAGAGCTTAAGAAGGAAGGTATGCGTCTCACACGCCGGAAGCTTTTCATGCTGCACAGAGTGGGCAGGATGGGGAGGGGTGAGCAAAGACATGAGCAAGAAACAAAACATCTCATTAGGTGATTCTATCCAGTATCGTTAAGAAACAAAACTGTAATACTGAAGATCTGGAGGGAAGTTATGACTGTTTATCAATTTATTAACACCAAAGTAACAATAATTATTATTTAATAAAAGTCGGTTCAGAGAGAAGTCAGAAAGATATCTCCTGAAACATTACTGCCAAGCTCTTTATTATTAAAAAAATGCATTATTATCATTATCATCATTTTTACTATTGTTATTATTAAATCTGATTATTAAGCAAATAAGACTTTATAAAATTATTAAAATACCAATAAAACATAAATCTGAAGTAAATTAATAATTATTGAAAATAATTAATAAAAATAATAAAATATAATTTCCTTACAATGATAAACTGACCGTTGAGTAAATACTCAAAGGACCACCATTTGCCAAGACACAGACTTTTACTCTTTTCAATGTATGGTGCTGCAGTACTGTGACAACTAACGAGGACCGAATAAGTGCTTTCTCATTCGTCCAACTAAAATTAGCCACATTCTCTCCCGCAAAAATCTGAAGACATGTGGCTATGGGTCGCTAAAAATGAAAGGAATGTCACAAGTATTTCATGCGTCGCCAAATTGCCAAAACATGAGGTGGTGTTTCCAAACATGGGTTGCGAGTCAAGATGAAGAACCTCTATATCATTTTAAATTTTGGTAAATTACACAGGTTTTAAGATCACAATATTTAATATTCTTTACAAAAATTAACAGAACATATTATATTACTTTTGAGAAAATTAAAAGGTCCAATGAATAAATTTGAATGGATGTTATAATCATAATGATGAAAAGAACTTGCTGGAGACAATGCAAGCGCTCTTGATTTTAAGGGAAACACACAACACATCCAAAATTATTCTTAAATTAATTATCTTAATAACTAATGGAAACAGATAAATTGGCACTTACAGAGACACCAAGGAACTGGGTACTGTTAATTGCAGAATAAATATCATCTGCTATTTCCTTATTCGTGTATGTGAAGTTTTTCAGACTTTTCCCATGTTTATTGAGACGTTCCATTGTTTTATTAAAAGCTGAAATAAACACACTTATTGGATTATTGTTCCTCTAAAAACCAAATAAACTGTACATATATCGTATTGAATATGTTAAATAAATGTATGAATAAAGGTAGTGCACCACAAAATTTTTCCATGCACAAAGTGAAAATAAAATACTTAAAACTATTTCGAATCAAGAACTTTTTTACTAACATGTAACGGTACTATCTGCCGCGAATTCGATGTAGAATTTCTGTTAATAAGATCGCGGACGCCCAGCGAAGCCACAGCTACATTGGAGGTCGACGATAACTGACCCCTGTCCCTTCGACTCTATTGAGACGAAGAGTACTTTATGAGATTTTATGACAGGACACTCCCGCGCCGTTTGGAAGGAGGGAGCCTTTTGTCGGCAACCGGATACCACCGAGCTCTCGAGAAGGTGCATTTCCCCACACACGCGACCGCTCGTCAAAGAGACCCGGCCTACTTGGGGAAACGGATATACGAACCAACGGACTGCGGTGCACATGCGGGTTCAAAATAGGTCATACTGTTTTGTTTTGTTTTTTTTGCCTGCCGGGACAAGAACCTCGCCCGCGGCAGGAAACGAACATTTTTGGCTGTTAGGAAGAATCCCGCGTCATTGGTCGAAGCTCCGCCCCGCAACGATCCGCTAAAATTTGATCACTGAAGGAGCGAGGGGGGGTACCACAGTTTTCGTGATGACGGGAGAGAAGCTCCAAAAGCACTAATTCTCGAGATTTCGCGAAGAGAGATTCAGTTCCAAAAACAGTAACACTCGAGAGACATAGTTCCTGGGACTAAGAAAATATTTTCGCTGGCCATTAGCTGCACTCGCACGGCAATGACAGTCACCGGTGCGCAGTTGCACTCAGTTACGTGCCACAGGCCGGGTTAGCCCGCGCTATGGTAGTGGGCCGTCCGCGATCGCTTGATTAGGGAATTAGATGAATTCCAATTAATCATCGCCGACGCGAATCGTGGATGGCTGACGGTCGGGGCTTCCATCCCTGGGTCCGGCCTAAGCAAGGGAAACGAGCGCGGCGACGCTGGAGCGCGGCCGTGGTCTTGGCTGCAGCTGTCCGGAGCGACCCGCCCCTTCCCGTCGGTCAACACCACCACCACCAGCTGAGTGTGTTCTACTGCCCGGACCACAACAAGAATGGTATTCATCAGCTTTATTCCCGCTAAAATGCGGTAGGACAATAATTGAGCGAAGCTGGAGAGAAGATGTAATTGTAAAATATTGTGTAATCACCCATCATTCATAATCATATAAGGGATATTAAATGTTTGTTTGTCAAAGTTTAAGGACGATTATTGAAAAACCCCATTCCCGCTCCAGAAGCCACACACACGTAAGGGTTACAATAATCAAATATCGAAGTTTGGAAGTATGCAATTGGAGATACCGACAGGGCGATACTGTCCGTAGGGCACTATCGATATGCTGAGCAATCGACAGACGCTTCTTTGTTCTCTGTGACTTCAGCGGTACTTTGTCTCTGACCGTCGAAGAGAACGCATTTGGCTTGGTGTGTGCTAACAGTGTATTGTGCATCCCGAGTTGTAATCCGCCTACAATCAGGCGAAGATCTGTGTGTCGATACCTTAGCGTGCGTGCTATCCATAATTTCAATGGGTTATGAGCCCAGAATAACGCGAATAGATAGCGAGGGCAGTTTGAACACGTGCGCGAAGTCAGGTTATAGTTTTCCTTTGTCTTAAAACACATACGCCAAAAAAATGAACACTCCAGCGTAAGGTTTGAAACTAAGACACCTGGACGATGCCTAGGGTTACGTGAACTACACGAAAGTGAAGCCAGAGGCAACAGGTGCCAACGCCGACGCCATCGAACAGTGGATGGAAGCAGACTTGAGGGCAAGTCAGACATCGTCCTCGTCATATTTCAGACCGAGATAAAGCAGATATAGGGATGCGACACTTCGCGCGCTGTATGGAGAAAGTTAGGGGAAATCTACCAGTCAAAAGGTCCAGCACAAAAAGCCGCGCTCTTGAATCTATGCGAATGCAAGATGCCGATACGGGAGAATTCGCATGAGAATTCGACGTAGTGGACAAACTATCGGATATGGAAGTAAACACCAATCAAAACTTGCTAACGGTATTCGTGCTGCATTTTTCCTCACAGTTTCGACAATTTTCGGTGGGCGATCGCAACACACGATAATTTGATGGCTTCAGATGTCCTGAGAATCAAAATCAGAGAAGAGTTTGAATCACAGAAAAGTGCAAATCAAAGTGCGATGGTCGCCGGGAAATTCGGGGAAGGCAGATCGAATGTGTTGAGAAGTCGGAAAGGTATTCCACAATGAAGTGCTACGTGTGCCCGGAAATCGACCATAGAGCAAAGAATTGTTTAGCCTAAAAGTTAGAATTGCCTAAGACCTAAAGGTTCATCAGACTACTAGCAATTCTATATGTGTCAAGGGACACACAGGAGTTGAGTTTTCGTACCGGCGGCAGCGAAGTCATGAATGCATGGTGCATCGCTAGCGGATGCACTTTACACATATTGAAGGACATTCACTCTTCCAAGGTTATCGATGAAACTGGGCCAGGAAAAATAAACCTGACCGAAAACGCGCGCACAGGAAAACGAGAGAAAATGGATGTTTCAACGAGGCTAGAAGTGAATGGAGGCGCAAAGGTGATTAACCTTCAATGCACATTGTCTGTGCCTGACCTGCGTACTAACTTCATGTCGGTGAGCAGATAATGAACAAGGAGAACAGTGTCCTTTTCCAGAAGACGAAAGCAGAGGTTCTAGACGGCCACGGCCACGAAGGTGCTGCTCACCGCGAGAACGACCTTTACTTCTGTGCACAAGAGCACAGTGAGTGCGCGAAGATTGCCAACGACGAAGACGTGCAGAAAGGACCACCGGAAAGCAACTCCTTTCAAGACTGGCACATCTGTCTCGAGAAATTTAAAAGTTCACCATTTACCCGACGCTGTGAAGAGTGGACATCTGCGAGATATCGTCATCAACAACACGACCAAGATTTCGAATGAAGAGTTTGTCTGCAGAGGAAGATGTGGCGAACCCCGTTCCTTATTGGCTTCAGAACGTTCATCTGCCGCTGGTGACTTGATTAATTCCGACAGGGACTAATGCGCGTGACATCGTATGGGAAGAACAAATATTTCTACACGCTTATTGACCATTCGCGCTGGTGTGAAGTAATGTTCCTGAAGAACACAAGCGAAGCTATCAAAGAATTTGACAGCTGCAGGGCCGCAATGGACACTCAGCAGGGGAAGAAAATATAGTGCCTCCAGTCATGTAAGGGACTAGAGTACGAGAACCAACAGTTCGACAAATTACTGAAGAGGTATGGCATCTCACGAAGGTTAACGGCACCGTCCAATCCGGAGCAGAATGGTGTAGCCGAAAGGAAGAATAGGTCACCGATAGATACGGCAAGATGTTTGTTAAACCAGTCAGGACTGACCTCCTCTCTCTGGGCTGAGATAGTGAACACAGCAAAGTTCATGCGCAACCGATGCCCCTCGCGAAGACTTCACGGGATGTCGCTGAATGAACTGTGGTTCGGAAGGGCATCAGATGTATCCGACGTCCAAGTGTTTTGGTGGTGAAGTCTTCGTCATGGACAGGTCACCGGGAAGACGTAAGCTCGAGCCGTGCTCCAGAAAGGGCTCCCTTGTGGGCTACAGTGTGGAGTCAGAGCTTCACGATCTGGATACCGAGTGAGGGGAAGGTCGAAGTATCCAGAAACCTCAAGTTCCTGGCACAGCCGCTGATGGAATCCAACACCAAGTCCGAAGACTTCCAACCGGAGGAGCACCATGCTCAAAAGCTCCCATAGCTGCTGAAAAGGGATGAGATAGACGCCGATGTAAATCCCTTCATTGAACTGAACATCAGCCGGGATCCTCCCTCTTGCCCAAGTCTGAACAGCAGAGATAAGGTAGTAGAGGAAGATTCAGACGGCGAAGACTTTTTTGTGAATTCGTGTCAGAGGAGCCAGTCAGACGGTGATGATTTTCGTGGATTCGCGCCAAACGAGCCTGAGACTGGTCAGGCGGCTACCGGGAAAACCTATAACAGGAAATGTTCAGGTAACCCAAATTTAATTTCCCTATACTTTCCCTGAGGTACTATATTTCATCCTTGTGTTTCATGTACCATTGCATTTTTTATGTAATTGCACAATTTTCTATAATAATAAATTACAAATAAATGCAGAATACTCGTATTTCATGCATGCATATTATATATATATATATATATATATATATATATATATATATATATATATATATATATATCCACAACATATACATATTTGTTTAATTTTTCATAAACAAAATAAATTATAATTTGACTTGATCACGTTTGAAATTTATTACAGAACCACTTTATTAAAAATTGTTTGATAATTTTTATGCAATGTTGCAATGTTTTAATTTTCATTTCGAGTTGAGCTTGCTTAACGCGCAATTCTTCTTTTACTTTCTCGCTACGCTTACGCAGTGAACAAAATGCGCGATAAAAAAGCGAATTATCGGCAGAAAAACTCTTATTACTGGGCTCTGACAACGATAAAGTGCAGAGATCCAGTTGCTAAATTTACAACCCAGTGGTTCTACAATAGGACATACTCTCGCCTTTAGTAATAGTTATATAATACTATTTATACCACAATTTCTCTCTGAATTCACATCTGTCATCTTTCCTAAAACTCATTACAAATCGTACATTTGGTGCAAAAATTAAATATTTCCAAGCAAATATGAAACACAAATTTCACAATTATAACTACTTTTCATACAGGTAAATCATGTCCCAACAATAAGACGTAATGTGCAGAAATTCAGTGGCGGCTCTGGGATTAGGCATCAGGGAGGGCACACAAAGTTACAGGATCAAATAGTTATGCATTTGAAATATTGTTATATTTGGATTGTTTAAGTCACATAAGTAAAATTTACAATCTAATTTTCTCCCCGGAAGACAGGCT